GAATGCTCAGGTTTCCAAGTTCATTCTCAGGAAATTTTGTTTGAAAAAGTTTGGGGAAAGCAGTGTTTTCATGAAGTCATAAGCCCCCCCCCCCAGTTTTAGTGAAGGAATCTATTATAAGAGATAAGTAGGTCAAGAGTTGAAGGTTATTGTTTGGATTGATGTATGCAGAGCTCCAGATAAGCTTTTGGTGTTGTGGGTATTTTACCCATGCATTTTAAAATCATTGGGTATCAGTAATTCTACCTGCGTATTCAAATTTCTGTTACCCACTAGTTTTTACACATGTGGGTATTTAAGTTAAATATTTAAAAACACTATTCATCTAGTCCCTGCAAACTGGTGTCGTGTGGGTTCGAGAGCTTTATAGGACTAAAAAATACCATGATACTTCCACAAGAAAGTGTGATGGCAAATGATCATGATGTAACTGTCATCGTTTGGCAAGGTTGACGGAATGCCCGTTTATAATTTCAAAATAAGTCGCTGATTTGCTAATCGAATACGCAGGGTTACTTCACAATATTTTGATGATACGCACAAGTTTTATTTTTGTAGCGTATCTGTAATGTTCGTTGCGTATTTGATACGCTTGGATTATATTTTACTGTGTATTTCTGCATTTCTGATGCGTATTTCACGCAGATACGCAGCTTATCTGGAGCTCTGGTATGATAAAGGTGCAACATTGTATCAAATGCATTGCTCAAGTGGGTGAGTGAGTGTGGTGTTATGCCACTTTTAGCAATATTTCAGCATTGTCACGACAGGGGACACCAGAAATGGGCTTGACACATTGTACCCATGTGGGGAGTCGAACCAACCTTCGGTGTGACGTGTGAATGCTTTGACCACTAGGCTACCCAACTGCCCCCATTACTCAATCAATGTAGGGGGGGACTTGAATGACCAGAGTTCAAGTTACTGATACATTTCAGAGCAAATGTGCTTGTCCTAAGAAGCCACTTTAAACACTTAGTTCACTGAGTTAGTTATATTTCAGTTGAACAAAGGGTTGGTTTCACATTAAAATCAGGGGTCGAAATTAACAGAAGTCTGCTAGCCTGAAAACAGTACAGGACTAGTGACATTTCCTTGTGGACTGCCACTCTTGCCATTAGCATGATTATGTACATGGCAACTCTCCAGCAGAGTTCTTGTGAAATAGTGAAGTAAAATTGTATTTCTTTCCCCGAAAAGGGGGCACGGGTGGCCAGTCGTCTAAGGCGCCACGATTTGCGTCCCTTGGGCACGCCAGAAATCTATGATTGTGGGTCCGAATTCCGGTTCGCTCCGATTATGTGTCTAGGTTTGTCAGCACCATACCCATGCTCGTGGGTTTCACCGAAGTGGTAAACGTCTGAGACCTGCATCACTTCGGGCTTTCCTCCCACATTAAGCTGACACGCCATGATATAACTGGAATACTGTTAAAAGCGGCGTTAAACCCAACTCACTCACTCATTTCCCTGAAAAATTAAATCAGACCTTTTAAAAGTGTGGCCAATTTGGAGTTTATGTTAATTGTTCAAATGAAGAATGAATGAAACTTGAAGCATTGAGTCTATTTCTTTATAGTACCGGTATAACAAAACAAGTGATTAGTTTTGGTGGGAAGAAAATAAGAACTGTTCTTTTTCAGTTTTGAAAAAAAAATTATTGTGGCATCTGCAACCAAACCCTTAGAGAAATAATGGCTGATACTTTCAAACATCTGTGGTGAAGTACTCTTAAAAGTTCATGGAATTCTCACACTCAGTGCTTGATCACTTAGTCATAGGTTGATGTATGTGTGTAGTGGTTTATTTAGCCGGAATTATTCTGTGATATTAAACAGTATAATAGATATTACAACCTAGACAAATATACATTCCCATGTGCAAAGATAATTAAGGTTGAAATTACATTGTACATGACCAATTGGGCCCGTTCACAAAACGATCATAGTTCTCAGATAATGAAAACTATGCTTTAACTGCTTACAACAGGCGTAGTTCTATGATCGTTTTGTGGAACAGGGCCCATTTGCACAAAGCGATCTTAGCGCTAAGATGATCGTAACTCCCATCCTTCAACACAAGGCTTACCATAGTCTTAGCCCTAAGATGATCGTAACTCCCATACTTCAACATAGACTTACCATAGTCTTAGCGCTAAGATGATCGTCACTCCCATACATCAACATAGGCAATGATAGGCTTACCATAGTCTTAGCGCTAAGATGATCGTAACTCCCATACTTCAACATAGGCTTACCATAGTCTTAGCGCTAAGATGATCGTAACTCCCATACTTCAACATAGGCTTACCATAGTCTTAGCGCTAAGATCGCCTTGTGGAACAGGACAAGGAGTGTATGACCCATGTGATTTGGAAAAGTGTTTAAATGCTCAGTTTGCAGCCTCGCTGCACTTCGTGCATGAGTCATTCATTGATGACGCTAATCAGCATGATTTCCTTGCTGTTTCTTACTACTAATATTGTCATGTTATTTCATGCATGTTCTCCCATGCTTAAGTTGTTCTGGATTGCTGTTCAACATTTCTATGCGTTTCAATGTTTGCAATGTTTTATTCTTAATAATAGTGTATATTTCATTCAGTAGACAATGTAATAACTGTAATCTCTTGGATATATAACCATTATAGCTTATAGTTGGAATTTATATTTCTTATTATTCTAGTTTTGTTATTTTGAAGGGGGCACGGGTGGCCCAGTCGTCTAAGGCTGTGCAGAGTTGCGTCCCTTGGACACGCCAGAAACCTATGATTGTGGGTTCGAATCCCAGTTCGCCCCGATTATGTTTCTAGGTTTGTCAGCACCATACCCGTGCTCATGGGTTTCACCGAAGTGGTAAACGTCTGAGACCTGCATCACTTCAGGCTTTCCTCCCACATTTAGCTGACACGGAGTGATATAACTGGAATACTGTTAAAAGCGGCGTAAAACCCAACTCACTCACTCACTCATGTTATTTGAAACTGTTTTACAAATGTTGATGCAGATGATGTTAGGACAACACCAATTATTTTTTGTTTGTTCATTTTTTAGATGAGACTTTTGCAGTGTGTGCAAAGAAACCCATGTGACAAAATATTTTCGTTGTTTTAGCTTTTATTTCAAGACCTCTTTTTTAATAAATAAACCTTGAACCATCCCCTGTGATCTCAAAAATATAATAATTATTTTTGTGTACATCATGTGCATGGCCTAAGGAATTTTGCAGAAGGAGCGATATCATTTTTTCAGTTTGTTCTTTCCTGAATCTTTGGAACATGTTTAATGTAACATTACAATTTTTTGTTAATATATACACATTTGACATGTTCAGCAGGCATTCAAATTTGGCATATCAATTGAAAATGACAATAAAGTTGAAAAAATGGGTCTAAATTTGTTTTTGGTTTGAAGTAAATTTTGTCAAATAATGTTTTTTTATTTTCCATCTCAGTGTATCTATTGTTCTTTTACTGTAAATAACTTGAAACTTTGAAAAAAAATCATTAAACTTTTTAAAGAATGTATTTCAGTTTTGATTTGAAGGTTATTCCCATTACATGACACAATTTCAAACGTTGATGAAAAGAATGTTCTATATTTGTCATGTAGATAAAAATGGCAAATTAATTATGTGTCTCTGAATTCAGCCCATCGCTGACTGTGTGACGTATCATCAATGACGCAGAAATGGCTTTGATCTTTTGTTTGTTCATGTTATGAAACAAGTCAGAATGGGCCATCTCAGCAGGGCTGTTTGTAATTCAGTCTGTTTGATCCTGTTGTAAGACTGACTGACAGATGTCATACCGAGAGTGTGCCCTGTATGACGGAGTATGACAGTGTGGTACATTGTCCATGATCTCCACAAAAAAATAATAATTCTTGTGAATACATCAGCTCTATCACATCAGTGCCACAAATTCCTGTTTATGCTGAGAACCACACTATAATTTTTTTATAAATTTTCAACAGACGTCCACTACACTGCCAACATATCCATAGTTGTGAGGGAAACCCTATCCCTTGCCAGAGGCGCCACTGCGCATGCCCTGTTTGACAGAGTATGACAGTGTGGCACATTGTCCATGATCTCCACAAAAACATAATAACGCATGTGTAAATTGATATATTCCGATATCAGTTTAACATTTGCAGCAGTAGAAACTAAATTTTTAGTCCACTAGTCCTTATAATGATAACATATAGCAAAACCCTTAAAAATGTCAAATTTCTACTTGTCCTTATGATACCTGAACTATTGGGCAGTTTGGCAAGGACTATGTGACTAGTGGCAATTTCGAACGCTGAGGTTTGGTTTCTCTTCTCGCATCATAATGAGGCGCGACGTTTATAAAAAGAATTGTTTATGGATCCAATCAACCCTTAGAAAAATTGGTTAATCTAAGAGCACTTTTTTGTTTTCATAACCTTGCTGAATTATCCTTATATTGTGGGTTTGTTTGAAGAATTTCTCCTTCCTTCCATATGTGGGGGCACGGACGGGTGGCCCAGTCGTCTAAGGCGCCAAGGTTCGCTGTGCAGAGTTGCGTCCCTTGGGCATGCCAGAAACCTATGATTGTGGGTTCGAATCCCAGTTTGCCCCGATTATGTTTCTAGGTTTGTCAGCACCATGCCCATACTCGTGAGTTTTACCGAAGTGGTAAACGTCTGAAACCTGCATCACTTCAAGCTTTCCTCCCACATTAAGCTGACATGCCGTGATATAACTGGAATACTGTTAAAAGCGGCGTTAAATCCAACTCACTCACTCCTTCCATATGTGTTCCCTTATTTCATTCCTTGAGTATATTGACTTACTGCCACCAGTGATAGGTGATAGACGATGTTATGTCATTATTTATGATAGAAATTGCTAATGTAGTAACAGAACATTTCAGTGTAACATGACACACTCTGTGTCAGTCAATATTGGTTGGAGAATTGATGGTGAAGTATTGAATATTTGCACTATATTAATGACTGTACTTGGTGTTTTTCAGGAATCTGTGATAGAAATAAAAGAAAAGAACCTGCCTCATTTACGAAACCCGGATATTTTGATCGGTGAAAACGATCTTACCTCTCTAAGTTACTTGAACGAACCAGAAGGTATGTATTGGATACACAGTGTTCAGAATTAAGGGCATGCTAATATCTAGTCTTTTAAATGAAAAGACAGCCTTCATGGTCTAATGGTAGAGCGTTCGCCTGGAGAGCGGAAGGTCCGGGGTTCGATCCCCGACCGCGTCATAACAAAAGACGTTAAAGGATGGTACTTGTTGTTACCCTGTCTGGCGCTCGGCATTAAGGGGCTGAAACAAGGACTGGTCGGCTCGGAGTCAGTATACTGTGTCTGAGTGGGGTATTCATGTTAAACTGCGGCATGGTATCTCAGTGAGCTAGCACTATAAATCGGCATCAGTCCGGACTAGTACAAGCAGCCACACACACACATACACGTACATGCACGTCGCTTTATAAGTGCAATAATCTTGGACGCGACGTTAAACACCATTTCACCTCACCTTCACCTCAAATGAAAATATTTTACAGAAGAAAACATTTGTTAAATTATCTTAATAAAATAAACTGAAGTACAAAAGAAAGTACACACCCCACTATTCTGACAGTAAAAGAAGACAGGGCAAACTTTATTGTGATTGTAATGTTTAATGTCATTGTTGAGTCATTTTCAAACATGTTTAGAATGGATTTAAAGATTTGTGGCCACATAAAACTTTTCAGTTGACAATAACGTCCATAGGCGGTCACTCATCAAAAATCACACTTGTAGAAATGATGACAGTCCCAGGTATGAAGGCCATGCGAGTGGTGTCAGTACCTCGTATGACCCCCATTTGAGTTAATGCAAGCCAGGACACGCCTTCTCATGGAAAAGGTCAACCGTCGGATGACGTCATTAGGGATCCGCTGCCACTCTGGTATGGTGGTTGGTGGCTATGCACGTCGTCGCAACTGTCTACCGAGATGGTCCCACAGGTGTTCAATGGGTGACAAGTCCGGAGAGCGTGACGGCCAAGGCAAAAGCTGAATATTCTGACGGTTCAGGAAGTCCATAGTGAGTCTAGCGGTGTGTGGTCGGGCGTTATCTTGCTGAAAAAGAAACCCCTGCCTTTGCCCCTGCATGAAGGGGATCACCACCGGCTGTAACACTTGGTCCCTGTACCTCTGGGCTGTCAGGGTCTGGTGGAGAATGACCAAATCCGTCTTCTGTTCGCCGCAAATGCCTCCCCAAACCATAACGCTGCCTCCGCCAAAAGGATGAACTTGTTGGACACATGCTCCAGCCAGTCGCTCGCCTCTACGTCGGTAGACTCTCACTCTACCGTCAGCATGGTAGAGGTTGAATCGACTTTCATCGGTAAAGAGGACTCGTGACCAGTCACGACGTTGCCAGCGTCTGACTCTTCTTGCCCAGCGAAGACGGCTGATACGGTGTTGAGCGGTCAAGGTCATCCCACGGAATGGTCGATAAGCCCGGATACCGGCAGCTCGTAGTCGTCCCATGACTGTGTTCCTGCTGATGTGGTGACCTAACGCTGTCGACGCTGTTGATGCCATGGTGAGGAACCTGTTGCGCAGGTGTAATGTGCGTATGTACCGGTCTTCTGCAGGGGTCATCACTCTCGGTCTTCCTCTTCTTGGGCGGTCGGATGTCTGGCCAGTCTGGTTGACACGACGAAGGAGTCTGATAATGGTTTGCCTGGTGCAGCCAAGGGTCCTTGCGATGTGACTGTTCGACGCCCCCACTTGGGACATCCCCACGGCTCTCTCTCGCTCCGCTGCTGTTAAACGTGGCATTTGTCTTGTGTTTTTTTCGTTGAATGTGTAATGAACGATAGAATCCACTGCCTTTTATACTGTTTCTACGCACATTGCACGTGCAAATGGAGAAAATTGCCATTTTCACAATGTGTGCTTTTGTTGCCTATCATAATGTCAAGGTTACGTTTCTGCGATATGCTCTCAATGGTTTTGTTCATTACATTAGGATAGCGCCAAAAATGTAACAACTTTTTCAACCATATGCGTAATATATGATATTTTAGGGGTGTGTACTTTCTTTTGTACTTCAGTTTATAATAAAAAGGAATCTCTTGATTTCTTAAAACTACAGTAATCTAGACTTGCCAGCTATGCAAGCATTGTTCTGGATATATTTGTTTCAGGGTATGTATGACAGACTAATTAACGTTTGTCTAGGGTTTTCTCCTGTAGTATTAGGTCGTGGGATAGCCTAGTGGGTAAAGTGTTCACTTGTCACATTTAAGGACCGAGTTTGATTCCCCACATGGGTACAATTTTTGAAGCCCCAGAGCTCCAGATAAGCTGCGTATCTGCGTAAAATACGCATCAGAAATGCAGAAATATGCAGTAAAATAAAATCCAAGTGTATCAAATACGCAACAAACATTACAGATACGCTACAAAAATAAAACTTGTGCGTATCATCAAAATATTGTGAAGTAACCCTGCGTATTCGATTCGCAAATCAGCAACTTATTTTGAAATTATAAACGGGCATTCCGTCAACCTTGCCAAACTCCACGATGACAGTTACATCATGATCATTTGCCATCACACTTTCTTGTGGAAGTATCGTGGTATTTTTTAGTCCTACAAAGCTCTCGAACCCACACAACACCAGTTTGCAGGGACTAGATGAATAGTGTTTTTAAATATTTAACCCTAAATACCCATATGTGTAAAAACTAGTGGGTAACAGAAATTTGAATACCCAGATAGAATTTCTGATACCCAATGATTTTAAAATGTATGGGTAAAATACCCACAACACCAAAAGCTTATCTGGAGCTCTGAGCCCATTTGTGGTGTCCCAGACGTGATATTGCTGGATTATTGCTAAAAGCAGCATCAAACCCGACTCCCTCACTCACTCACTCCTGTAGTTGTTGAATCCAGGGTTTTAACAAACTGGTGGCATTGTCTTCCGGCCATCTCAGCTATGTTTTTTTAAAACTTGACAGACTCACAACAGCCATTATAGACCAAAAGCATTAGACAAAAAATGGAAAAAAATAGTACACAGCTGAATTTTTCTTGAGACATTCAGGAAGTCATAATGGTGCGCCGTAGTCCTTTATGTAGTATTTTTTCTCACATGAAGTTTATATCAGAAAAATGTTATTGGTAAAAAAAGAATTGGTTGTGCCGGTGGGCAGTGTTTATTTGTTTGTTTTTTATTGGTGGGTTGTGGGGTTTGGGAGGGTGTATGTATACTATGTGTAACTAGTGTGTATCCTAAGAAACAGTTGTGTACAATCAACCTGGGAAAGGGCCTCCCTACATTAATATATTCCTTGATGAGTAAAATACTGGAATACAGTGTTTGACAACCGTTGGACTTGGAATATTTTAGGATTTTCTTATATTAAAAAAAAATGGAAATGAAAATTAAACTTGCGGCAAACTGTATGATGAGTGCGGTGCCTGAGAACCAACACTATTTTTTCTTTCAGCCTTATTTTGTTGAGACCGCCTCCGTGGTCTAGTGGTAGAGCATTCGATCCCTGACCGCGTCATACCAAAAGACGTTAAAAGATGGTACTTGTTGTTACCCTGTCTGGCGCTCGGCATTAAGGGGCTAAAACAAGGACTGGTCGGCTGGGAGTCAGTATACTGTGTCTGAGTGGTGTATTCATGTTAAACTGCGGCATGGTATCTCAGTGAGCTAGCACTATAAATCGGCATCAGTCCGGACTAGTACAAGCAGCCACACAAACACACACACGTACATGCACGTCGCTATATAAGTGCAATAATCTTGGACGCGACGTTAAACCCCATTTCACCTCACCTTATTTTGTTGAACATGCACACTCCTTATGTTCTGCCTTTCTGTTTCAGTTCTGTACAATCTGCAGGTCAGGTTTGTGCAACAGAACCTCATCTACACATACTGTGGTAAGTACAGCGTCAGCAAACAGGTGCAGAGTTGTGTCCCTTAGGTATGCCAGAATCCCATGATTGGGTTCAAATCCCTGAATATGTGCGTAGGTTTCACAAAGTGGTAGCCATCTTTGACCTGCACACGGGCTTATGACCCATATCAAGCTACACGCTGTGATATAACTGAAATACCGTATTCGACGTAATAAGCGCCCCGCTCTAATAAGCGCCCACAGCGACATTTGCTAAGATATTGGCTAGTGAACAATCCCAATTAGCACCCCTTCCGATTGATCAATGTACACAAGACTTATTTATTCACATATAATACGCACTTGTGTGTTATACGCACCCTTAATTATGGACATTTAATTTTGGAAAAATATATCTGTCATACATAAACATTTCAGGCCACGAAATTTATCTTTCAACTCTCTTTTTTTTTCACCAAAATAATATTCTAATAAGAGCCCCCTATTTCTAATTTTGAGAGCGCCCTGGGCGCTTATTACGTCGAATACGGTACATGTACAGTTCGAAATGGCGTTAAACAGAACTAATTCACTCTTAACAACCAGTACTTGAACAAATTGATTCTGTTTCATCGTGAGTCTTGGATCGTAGCTCATCACGTGTTTCGGAGCCCCATGAAGATTAGAATAGGTCTTCAGCAACCCATGCTTGTTGTTAAGGCGACTATGCTTGTCATAAGAGGCGACTAACGGGATTGGGTGATCAGGCCCACTGACTTCGTAGATGCATATCATCATATCCCAATTGCGTGTATGGATGCTCATGATGTCAATCACTGGACTGTCTGGTCCAGACTTGATTATTTACAGACCACCGTCATATAGCTCGAATATTGCTAAGTGCGGTGTTAAACAACAAACACACAAACAAACACACAAACAAACAAACACAAGCAAACAAACACAATGACAGTCTCTGTCCATGACGCTCATGCCCGTATCTATATGAGTGCAATAATCTTGAATGCGACATTAAACACCTTGTCAGCTCACCACTTCATCCACTCACTTGCTCTCTGTGTTGTTCAGGTATAGTGCTTGTGGCCATCAACCCGTACGAGCAGTTAGACATCTACAACAATGACATCATCCAGGCCTACTGCGGCCAGGACATGGGCGCCATGGACCCTCACATCTTCGCGGTCGCAGAGGAGGCCTTCAAGAAGATGTCAAGGTCACAATTATTTATACAACAGTCTTAGAGCCTGCTAGGCGAAGTTGTAGTTTGTTTCATTTTAAGTAGTCTTGTTCACGTATACATACAGTTATTTGTTGAGCTTTTTGGACAGGAAGGAATCTTACTGTTTTGACTTCAGAATAATAAAACCCACGAAGATCGGTGTTGGAATAGGTCTTCAGCAACCCATGGTTGCCGTAAAAGGCGACTATACTTGTTGTAAGAGGCGACGAACGGGATCGGGTGGTCAAGGTTAATGCATGTCATCATACCCCAATTGTGTAGATCAATGTTCATGATGTCAATCACTGGATTGTCTGTTCCATTATTTATAGACTGCCGTCCAATAGCTGAAATATTGCTGAGTGCAGTGTTTAGCAACAGTCAATCAATAAGTTAAGCAATCCGAATAATACGGTTGCTATATAGCTGAAACCTCACCTCACCTCACCTCACCTCACCTCACCTCACCTCACCTCACCTCACACACAGGATAAAGGCTGAAGTTCTGATAAACTGTAGAACATCTGGTTTTGACCTGTTTAGCTGAAATACTTTTCATCCATCCATTTGCCTGCATAAAAATATATATATATATCTATATAATTTTGTTAATTAATTATTTTTTCAGGTTTGATGAAAACCAGTCCATTATTGTCAGTGGAGAGTCTGGTGCAGGGAAGACGGTCTCGGCTAAATATGCCATGCGATACTTTGCAACAGTTGGGGGCTCGCAGGCGGATAGTGAGACACAGGTCGAGAAGAAAGTCCTGGCCTCGAACCCCATCATGGAGGTACAGTAGTCCCAGAATAAGCATCATGGTGTCATGCTTGTCCCAGAATAAGCCCATCATGGAGTCATGCTAGTCCCAGAAAAAGCCCATCATGGAGTCATGCTAGTCCCAGAATAAGCCCATCGTGGAGTCATGCTAGTCCAAGAAAAAGCCTTTCCTAGAGGTACAGTAGTCCCAGAATACGCATCATGGTGTCATGCTTGTCCCAGAATAAGCCCATCATGGAGTCATCCTAGTCCCAGAAAAAGCCCATCATGGAGTCATGCTAGTCCCAGAATAAGCCCATCGTGGAGTCATGCTAGTCCAAGAAAAAGCCTTTCCTAGAGGTACAGTAGTCCTAGAATAAGCCCATCATGGATGTATAGTAGTCCTAGAATAAGCCCATCATGGAGGTACAGTAGTTCTAGAATAAGCCCTTCATGAAGTTACAGTAGTCCTAGAAATAAGCATATCATGGAGGTACAGTAGTTCTAGAATAAGCCCTTCATGAAGTTACAGTAGTCCTAGAATAAGCCCTTCATGAAGTTACAGTAGTCCTAGAATAAGCCCTTCATTGAGGTACAGTAGTCCTAGAATAAGCTCATGTCAGAGGTACAATATTTCTAGAATAAGCCCTTCATGGAGGTACAGTAGTCCTAGAATATGCCCTTTATGGAGGTACAGTAGTCCTAGAATAAGCCAATCATGGAGGTAAAGTAGTCCTAGAATAAGCCCATCATGGAGGTACAGTAGTCCTAGAATAAGCCCATCATGGAGGTACAGTAGTCCTAGAATAAGCCCATCATGGAGGTACAGTAGTCCTAGAATAAGCCCATCATGGAGGTACAGTAGTCCTAGAATAAGCCCATCATGGAGATACCTCAAAGAACTAATGTTCTATTATGGATGTGGCAAACGTATACATAGAAATGTGAAATCTTAGCATTTACTTACTCATGATGTCAATCACTGGATTGTCTGGTCCAGACTTGATTATTTACAGACCGCTGTCATATAGCCGGAATATTGCTGAGTGTGGCGTTAAACAACAAACAAACAAACAAACAAATCCTATATCTTATGATCATATGGATATCATGTGCAGAGTTATGGCCCTTGGAAATCCATACTAATGGATTCGAATCTGGGTTCGCCTCGATTATGTTTCTAGGTTTGTCAGCGCCATTACCGTGCCAGTGGGTTTCACCAAAGTGGTAAACATCTAAGACTTGCATCACTGTGAGATTTCCTCCCACTGAAACTGTGATATAACAGGAATACTGTTCAAAGAGGCTTCAAACCCAACTCAGGCCCTCACTCTTACACTCATGCCATTAGATTATTGTCATCTACAACAGAAAAATTCCCATCCCCCTGACATTCCAGTTCTAGTTTCACAAGGTGTGCTGTTTCTTTGTTCCAGGCTATTGGCAACGCCAAGACAACAAGAAACGACAACAGCAGTAGATTCGGTAAATACATCGAGATCACGTTCAGCAGGAAGCACGAAATCATCGGTGCCAACATGAGGACATACTTGCTGGAGAAATCCAGGTCAGATTTAATGCTGTCTTTCATAGAAGCATGTTGTCTTATCACAAAATTGGCTTCCACAGGCAATATCATCGCTGTGATATTGCATCACAATGCTTTGCAGACCATTGTGACATCATCAGTTACAATGATGTCACAATCAAATGACATCACTAATCTCGCTGCCAGTGAAGATTAGCTGTTCTTATTACATATGTATTATTATTTATATAATGTACCCTCTTGTTTTACGTTGTGTTACAGTGGGATTCTCCTTTGTTACATTGTGTTAAAGTGGCATTTCCCAAGTGTTACATTGTGTTAAATTGGCATTTCTCTTGTGTGGCATTGTGTTAAAGTGGCTTTCCCCATGTGTTACATTGTGTTAAAGTGGCATTCCCCATGTGTTACATTGTGTTAAAGTGGCATTTCCCTGTGTTACATTGTGTTAAAGTGGCATTCCCCTTTTATTACATTGTGTTAAAGTGTTTTTCCCCATGTGTTTCGTTGTGTTAAAGTAGCATTCCCCCGTATCATTTTGTGTTAAAGTGGTGTTATCCATGTGTTACATTGTGTTAAAGTGTTTTTCGCCATGTGTTACATTGTGTCAAAGTGGCATTCCCCATTGTTACATTGTGTTATAGTGGCATTCCCAATGTATTACATAGTGTTATAGTGGCATTCCCCTGTTTTACATTGTGTTATAGTGGCATTCCCCTGTTTTACATTGTGTTATAGTGGCATTCCCAATGTCTTACATAGTGTTATAGTGGCATTCCCCTGTTTTACATTGTGTTATAGTGGCATTCCCCTGTTTTACATTGTGTTATAGTGGCATTCCCAATGTATTACATTGTGTTATAGTGGCATTCCCCTGTTTTACATTGTGTTATAGTGGCATTCCCCTGTTTTACATTGTGTTATAGTGGCATTCCCCTGTTTTACATTGTGTTATAGTGGCATTCCCCTGTTTTACATTGTGTTATAGTGGCATTCCCAATGGATTACATTGTGTTAAAATGGCATTCCCAATGTATTACATTGTGTTAAAGTGGCATTCCCCATTGTTACATTGTGTTAAAGTGGTATTTCCCCGTGTGTTCCAGAGTGGTGTTCCAGGCCGAGGAGGAGAGAAACTACCACATCTTCTACCAGCTGTGTGCATCAGCCGACCTGCCAGAGCTAGCGGACATGAAGCTGAGTATGTGCAGCATGACAGACAAACTTTCATCCTGTTTTGTTCTGTTTTACCTTCTGTGCCTGTTCTGTTCTGGCTTCCAACAACCTATTCTTGTCGTAAGAGGATGGGTTGCTGAAGACCTATTCTACCCCGGATCTTCAGCAACCCATATACCCGTGAAGATCCGGGATAGAAAAGGTCTTCAGCAACTCAAGCTTGCTGTAACAGGCGACTATGCTTGTAAGAGGCAACTAACGGGATCGGTGGTCAGGCTTGCTGACTTGGTTGACACACGTCATAATATCTCAATTGCTTGAATCAATGCTCATGATGTCAATGACTGGATTGTCTGGTCCAGACTCGATTATTTATCGACCGCCGTCGTATAGCTGGAATATTTCTGAGTGCGGCGTTAAACAACAAACAATCACTCAATTGTCTGAGAGGCAACCAAATGAATCTGCTCCTCAGGCTGGTCTTACAACGACGGCAGGGATCATATCTCATTATATCAATCACTGGACTGTCTGGTCCAAACGGGATAGTTTACAGGCTGCCGTCATGTAGCTGGAATATTGCTGAGTGCTACCTTAAACAACAAACAATTTTTTCCTTGACTTATTCTTTTTAATTAGTGATTTTAGATTTGCTAAGTGTTGATACAAATCATCGTACTGAGGATTCACAGTATGCGCCTGAGACTCTCTAGTATGAACACTACAGAAGTTACAATCTGAATTCTTCTAATACTTGCAGTATTAATACTTGCAATTGCAAATGTATGATACTAAGAAAGAGGAAATGTAGCTTGGCCCGATCAGTACACTGAATATCAAAAGTTGTGTTTTTTGTGGTGAAGACTGAGCACACAATTTCAAGAAATATTCCCCAAAATATTCATGATCCCTAACTTTTTATCCCCCGCCTAACAAAGTTGGCGGGGGATATAGAAACGGGCTCCGTCCGTCCGTACATCCGTCTGTCACGTTTCGTTTCCGGAGCATAACTCATAAACCGTTCAATATTTTTCATCAAACTTTGCAGGTCTGTCAGATACATGCTGAACTGGTGCCTTTTGCTATTTATAAATTTTAGACATTTTTATTTTTTACGTTTCCATGGCAACAAGATGGTCTTAGGTTCTGTGAGGGTAGGGTTCGTTTCCGGAGCATAACTCATAAACCGTTCAATATTTTTTCATCAAACTTTGCAGGTCTGTCAGGTACATGCTGAACTGGTGCCTTTTGCTATTTAGAAATTTTAGACATTTTTATTTTTTACGTTTCCATGGCAACAAGATGGACTAAGGTTCCATGACAAGTTCCACCTCGGTTAAGAAAGGTTACGGTTTGTTTAGATTTAATTATGTCATAAATTCGGCAACAGGGGCGGGGGATATAGCCACGTTAGTGGCAAACTCTTGTTTTGTTTGGTTTAGATATATACACTAATTAAGTTATTTTCTGGTTGGACTTAGCTGTGGTTGTGTTGTGTTGCAGAGTCTGCAGACGACTTCTTCTACACCTGTCATGGAGGGAGTCCGGAGATCAATGGAGTCGATGATGCCCATGATTTTCAGGTTCTACGGGAGGCTTTCAGTTTACTAGGTAACCCCTTAACTTTGCCCACGTGGGGATTCTGGGTTAGAAGGAGTGAGTTTGGTTTTACGCCGCTTTTAGCAATATTTCAGCAATATCATGGCGAGGGACACCAGCAATGGGGTTCGCACATTGTATCCATGTCGGGAATCGAACCCAGGTCGTCGGCGTGACAAGTGAACGCTTTAACCACAAGGCTACCTGACCGCCCCTCCGGCTTAGAACATGAACCAAGCAGTGATAGTCGTATGATACAGGGAGGGTAACGAAGGTGTCATGCACTGGGAAGGAGCTTGTCGTGATGATACAGGGAGGGTAACGAAGGTGTCACGCACTGGGAAGGAGCTTGTCGTGATGATACAGGGAGGGTAACGAAGGTGTCACGCACTGGGAAGGAGCTTGTCGTGATGATACAGGGAGGGTAACAAAGGTGTCATGCACTGGGAAGGAGCTTGTCGTGATGATACAGGGAGGGTAACAAAGGTGTCACGCACTGGGAACGAGCTTGTCGTGATGATACAGGGAGGGTAACAAAGGTGTCACGCACTGGGAACGAGCTTGTCATGATGATACAGGGAGGGTAACAAAGGTGTCACGCACTGGGAAGGAGCTTGTCGTGATGATACAGGGAGGGTAATGAAGGTGTCACGCACTGGGAAGGAGCTTGTCGTGATGATACAGGGAGGGTAATGAAGGTGTCACGCACTGGGAAGGAGCTTGTCGTGATGATACAGGGAGGGTAATGAAGGTGTCACGCACTGGGAAGGAGCTTGTCGTGATGATACAGGGAGGGTAATGAAGGTGTCACGCACTGGGAAGGAGCTTGTCGTGATGATACAGGGAGGGTAACAAAGGTGTCACGCACTGGGAACGAGCTTGTCGTGATGATACAGGGAGTGTTACGAAGGTGTCATGCACTGGGAAGGAGCTTGTCATGATGATACAGGGAGGGTAACGAAGGTGTCACGCACTGGGAAGGAGCTTGTCGTGATGATACAGGGAGGGTAATGAAGGTGTCACGCACTGGGAAGGAGCTTGTCGTGATGATACAGGGAGGGTAATGAAGGTGTCACGCACTGGGAAGGAGCTTGTCGTGATGATACAGGGAGGGTAATGAAGGTGTCACGCACTGGGAAGGAGCTTGTCGTGATGATACAGGGAGGGTAATGAAGGTGTCACGCACTGGGAAGGAGCTTGTCGTGATGATACAGGGAGGGTAACGAAGGTGTCACGCACTGGGAAGGAGCTTGTCGTGATGATACAGGGAGTGTTACGAAGGTGTCATGCACTGGGAAGGAGCTTGTCATGATGATACAGGGAGGGTAACGAAGGTGTCACGCACTGGGAAGGAGCTTGTCATGATGATACTGCGAGGGTAAGGAAGGTGTCACGCACTGGGAAGGAGCTTGTCGTGATGATACAGGGAGGGTAACAAAGGTGTCACGCACTGGGAACGAGCTTGTCGTGATGATACAGGGAGGGTAACAAAGGTGTCACGCACTGGGAACGAGCTTGTCATGATGATACAGGGAGGGTAAGGAAGGTGTCACGCACTGGGAAGGAGCTTGTCGTAATGATACAGGGAGGGTAAGGAAGGTGTCACACACTGGGAAGGAGCTTGTCGTAATGATACAGGGAAGGTAAGGAAGGTGTCACGCACTGGGAAGGAGCTTGTCGTAATGATACAGGGAGGGTAAGGAAGGTGTCACGCACTGGGAAAGAGCTTGTCGTAATGATACAGGGAGGGTAAGGAAGGTGTCACACACTGGGAAGGAGCTTGTCGTAATGATACAGGGAGGGTAAGGAAGGTGTCATGCACTGGGAAGGAGCTTGTCGTAATAATACAGGGAGGGTAAGGAAGGTGTCACACACTGGGAAGGAGCTTGTCGTGATGATACAGGGAGGGTAAGGAAGGTGTCACGCACTGGGAAGGAGCTTGTCGTAATGATACAGGGAGGGTAAGGAAGGTGTCACGCACTGGGAAGGATCTTGTCATGATGCTACTGCGAGGGTAAGGAAGGTGTCACGCACTGGGAAGATGTTTTTGGTACATCCATGCTGATGCTGAAACTGATGTTCTGTGTTTCAGGCTTTTCTGCCAAGGATCAAATGATGATCTTCCGTATCATGTCTTCGGTGCTTCACTTCGGCAACGTTGTCATCAGAGAGAAGGAGGGGGAGTGTTGTGAAGTTCCAGTAAGTTGTAGAGGATGGTAGCCCATCTGTCAATCTAGAGCATGGTTGCAATTATTTGTATGCCAGACTTCATTGTTTTGTTTTTTTTCGTTTATGGACTTTTGACCAAAAATTCAGGGTGGTAGGTCAAAAATATAATAATAAGCAAGTTCCAATTTCAAGTAGGTGGGGAAAAAAATTGGGATGGACATTCACAATATGTTTAACGGGATGCCTGGTTAGAATTGCACTCCAACAGCCTATGCTGGACATCAGAGGTGACTTCATCAATCAGTTCGTCAGGCTTAGGGACTGGTTGATTTGTGTGTCATCGTACCCAATGGCCTGGATTGTTGCTCACAATATTGATCACAGGATTGTCTGGTCAAAACTTGACTATTTACGAGCAGTCGTCATACAGATGGAATATTGCTGAGTGCATTGTTAAACTGCAATCAAACTTAGGGCAAAGTCTGTCATAAGACTATGTCATAGTATCAGAGAAACGGGCCAGTGTCGTGGGTTATTGCCTGCTAATGTGACACATGCTGAAGTGTTAGGGGGGCACGGGTGGCCCAGTCGTCTTAGGCGCTGCTATTCGCTGTGCAGAGTTGCGTCCCTTGCGCACGCCAGAAACTTATGATTGTGGGTTCGAATCCCGAATTATGTTTCTAGCTTTGTCAGCACCATACCCATGTTTGTGGTTTTCACCGAAGTGGTAAACGTCTGACCTGCATCATTTCAGGCTTTCCTCCCACATTAAGCTGACACGCCGTGATATAACTGGAATACTGTTTAAAGCGGCGTTAAACCCAACTCACTCACTCACTGAAGTGTTACGTTTGTTTTACTACAGAAACAAGATGAGCATTTAACTGTGATGTGTAAGCTGCTGGGCATCGAGGAGTCCCAGATGAGGATGTGGCTGTGTAACCGGTCCATCCAGACAGTCAATGAAACCCTCACCAAACCCCTGACAGAGAGCCAGGTAAGTCTATACGGAGTATATATGGAATATACGAAAGGGGGACATTATTTCCCTGCTGTAGTATTTAAAGTTATGCCACTAGGGTGCGATATGTCCATTGTTTGGGCACCTTGTTGTTCATTGTTACAACTTTACTGGTCGGATGGTTGGGCATTATTTCCCGGCTGAAGTATTTAAAATTATACCAGGGGCGGTCGGGTAGCCTAGTGGTTGAAGCGTTCGCTCGTCACACCGAAGACCCAGGTTTGAATCCCGACATGGGTACAATGTGTGAAACCCATTTCTGGTGTCCCCCGCCGTGATATTGCTGGAATATTGCTAAAAGCAGCGTAAAACCAAACTCACTCACTCACTAAAGTTATACCACTAGGGTGCGATATGTCTATTGTTTGGGCAGCTTGTTGTTCATCGTTACAACTTTACTGGTCGGATGGTTCGGGTCGGACAAGAGGGGTTTGCCTCAGAAATACCTTGGACCTGATAGCAAACCTGATGCTGTTGAAAATGGTTAAACATGAGATTCACTTCTTAGAAATATGTGGCCTCGTGGACAGCAGAAGGTCGATGGCTTGATCCCCGGTCGGGTCATTTCCAAAAGATGTTAAAAGGTAGTACTTGTTTCCCTGCTTGGCATTCTGTGTTAAGGGAGTCAGTATACTGTGTCTGAGTGGGGTATCCATGTTAAACTGCGGCATTAAGCATTAAGGGGCTCAAACAAGGACCGGTCGGCTCGGAGTCAGTATACAGTGTCTAAGTGGGGTATCCATGTTAAACAGCAGCTTGGTATTAGAGGGCTAGCACATTAGAAATGGCTTAAGTCTGGACAAGTGCAAGCAGCCTTCATGTACGCACATTGCTATGTAAGTCCAATAATTATGAAACAAGGGCCGTAGAAGTAACCTCACGGTCAGAGCTTTGGCTCGGCACGCCAGAGGCCCTGGTTTGATTCTTCACATGGTAGATTATGTGAAACCCAGTTCAGGTGTTCCCCACCAATATATTGCTTGACTATTTCTAAAGGTGGCAGAAAACAATAGTCACTCACCCACTAACTCACTCTCATTCACACTCACTCACTCACTCATTCTCATTCACACACTCTCTCTGTCTCACTCACTCACTCACTCACCCACTCTCTTACTCTCACTCACTCAATCTCTTTCCCTCCCTCCCTACCTCCCACCCACCCACTCACTCACTCACTCACTCACTCACTCACTCATTCATTCTCATTCTCATTCTCACACACTGTCTCACTCACTCGCTCACTCACCCACTCTCTTTCCCTCCCTCCCTACCACTCACTCTCTTTCACTCCCTCACTCCCTCCCTCCCACTCACTCACTCACCCAATCCCACTCACTCACTCACTCACTCACTCTCTTTCCCTCCCTCCCACTCACTCATTCTCTTTCCCTCCCTCACTCCCTCACTCCCACTCACTCACCTGGGAGGATGCTCTGGCCAAGCACATATACTCCCGGATGTTTGACTGTCCCTCCCTCACTCCCTCCCTCCCACTCACCCACCCACCCACCCACCTACACACTCATTCACTCTCGCTCCCTCCCTCACTCACTCCCTCACTCCCTCCCTCCCACTCACTCACCCAATCCCACCCACCCACTCACTCACTCACTCTCTTTCCCTCCCTCCCACTCACTCACTCACCCAAACCCACTAACCCACTCACTCACTCACTCACTCACTCACTTTCCCTCCCTCACTCCCTCCCTCCCACTCACTCACTCACCCAATCCCACCCACTCACTCACTCACTTACTCACTCACTCTCTTTCCCTCCCTCACTCCCACTCACTCACTCATCCAATCCCACTCACCCAATCCCACTCACTCCCTCACTCACTCTATGATCTTGTTTCATGTTTCCAGGCCAGTTTTGCCCGGGACGCCCTGGCCAAGCACATCTACTCCCGGATGTTTGACTGGATCGTGGCCCACGTCAACAATGTGCTGCGGAACAACGTCAAAACCAAAGTCAAACTCAACTTCATAGGAGTGCTAGATATTTATGGGTATGTTATATTTTGAAGTGTTCCACATGGGTGACAGCATATTGACGGGGATATATTTATTGGTATGTTATAACTATATGTGCATGAGTATGTTATGTCTAGATATTTATGGATATGTTATAACTATATGTGCATGAGTATGTTATGTCTAGATATTTATGGATATGTTATAACTATATGTGCATGAGTATGTTATGTCCAGATATTTATGGGTATGTTATAACTATCTGTGCATGAGTATGTTATGTCCAGATATGTATGGATATGTTATAACTATATGTGCATGAGTATGTTATGTCCAGATATTTATGGATATGTTATAACTATATGTGCATGAGTATGTTATGTCCAGGTATTTATGGGTATGTTATAACTATATGTGCATGAGTATGTTATGTCCAGATATTTAGGAGTATGTTTTAACTATCTGTGCATGAGTATGTTATGTCCAGATATTTATGGGTATGTTATAACTATATGTGCATGAGTAGGTTATGTCCAGGTATTTATGGGTATGTTATAACTATATGTGCATGAGTATGTTATGTCCAGATATTTAGGAGTATGTTTTAACTATCCGTGCATGAGTATGTTATGTCCAGATATTTATGGATATGTTATAACTATATGTGCATGAGTATGTTATGTCCAGGTATTTATGGGTATGTTATAACTATATGTGCATGAGTATGTTATGTCCAGATATTTAGGAGTATGTTTTAACTATCTGTGCATGAGTATGTTATGTCCAGATATTTATGGGTATGTTATAACTATATGTGCATGAGTATGTTATGTCCAGATATTTATGGGTATGTTATAACTATCTGTGCATGAGTATGTTATGTCTAGATATTTATGGATATGTTATAACTATATGTGCATGAGTATGTTATGTCCAGATATTTATGGGTATGTTATAACTATATGTGCATGAGTATGATATGTCCAGATATTTATGGGTATGTTATAACTATATGTGCATGAGTATGTTATGTCCAGATATTTAGGAGTATGTTATATCAAGATGTACCCATGAAGAACCGGTTTAGAATTGATCTTTAGCAACCCATGACTCATTTAATATGACACAACTTATTTTGTTTTCCAGGTTTGAAACGTTTGTAATCAACAGTTTTGAGCAGTTCTGTATAAACTACGCAAATGAAAAACTGCAGCAGATATTCAATATGGTGAGTGAATCTGAACTATCATTATGTCGGCCATAGCTCTTCAGTCTTCTCCTCTGTTATTTCCTTGACTTTGATCACTTTTTTTCAAGATGTGGCCCAGTTATCTGAGGTTTGTTGTATAGAATTACGTCCATCACAGTCTTGGGTTCCCAGATTAGCTGTGCAGAGTTGCGTCCCTTGGGCACGCCAGAAACCTATGATTGTTGGTTCAAATCCCGGTTCGCCCTGATTATGTTTCTTGGTTTGTCAGCACCATGCCCCTGCTCGTGGGTTTCACCGAAGTGGTAAACGTCTGAGACCTGCATCACTTCGGGCTTTCCTCCCACATTAAGCTGGAACGCTGCAATATAACTGGAATACTGTTTTATGCGGCGTTAAACCCAACTCACTCACTCACTCACTAACGCCAGTCAACAGAATAAACATACGAACTGTATGTTGTTATTAGGGAAACTCTGTTTATTGTTATTACAGAAGTGCTCTACTCAGTGCTTATAAGCAGTGCTATTAGCTGTTTGATTGGGTTAAAGTAAGGATGTATATGTTTAGGGATGGGGTGGGGGGAGTCGCATTGATATTAACCTGCATCTTTTGGACTTTTATTATTATTATAAATACAGATTATGATAAAAAAATGCAGTAAAGTGGGTTTGTGTGATCATCAGCTCAGGGCCCTTGCTACACGCAGTTACTATTATTATTATTATTATATTATTATTTTTTATTTATTTTTTTTATTTATATTATTGTTGTTGTTGTTGTTGTTGTTGTTGTTGTTGTTGTTGTTGTTGTTGTTGTTATTATCTTCATCTAGTACAGGGAAACTGTTGTTGTTTGCAGCATGTGTTCAAGTTGGAGCAGGAGGAGTATGTGAGGGAGAAGATCGAGTGGTCGTTTATTGATTTCTATGACAACCAGCCTTGTATCGACCTGATAGAGAACAAGCTGGGGATACTGGACCTGCTGGATGAAGAGTGCAAGGTGAGCTAGAAATGTCTGCCTCAGCAGTTTCTTGTGTATGATGTGTAAGCCTAGTTTAACCAGTGAAAAACTGGTAATTACCGGTAAACGGGAACACTATATGTTGTCATTATAAGGACTGATGGACTAAAAATGTTAGTTTCTACTGCTGCAGTGCTACAGATGTGTATGACAGGGAGTGTATCGGTGGACATATCCAACACAAGTGAGGATGGCAACAAATTCAAGACCAAATATTTGAGAACGTGGTCCGTTTTTAGTATTGTTACAGGGGCCATTGTTCATCTGATAACCGATCCTCCATATTTTTCAGATGCCGAAAGGATCTGACCAGAACTGGTGCCAGAAGTTATTTGATAAACATCTGAAGAAGTCCAAGCATTTTGACAAGCCAAGGATGTCCATGAAATCATTCATCATCATCCACTTCGCGGACCGGGTGACCTACACTGCAGACGGCTTCCTGGAGAAGAACCGGGACACCATCTTGGAGGAGCAGATCAACATCCTCAAGGCCAGCGAGGTGGGGAAAACATTTCAGGATGCCCTGCACATCCTGCATTGCCCAGTGTATAACATCTTCCTGAGTATAAAAGTCCAGTTTCCACCCTTGCCGAACTAGGCTGGAATTATGGAGATTATCGTGGCTGGACTAACACGTCTATGCATAGCCCTATCGCATTGCAGATTTTGGTCGATTGCAGGATTTGTAAAGCATGTTTACTGTCAACTCGGCATCAACAGATATTTTCCAAATCCTTTCATGGTTCTAATCAAGGTACTCATGGGATTTGATGCACTTCGCGATGTAAGACCCGTTTTATTACAATAGATCTTGATTATCGATCAGATCGTCTTGACAGGGTGCCACCATTTTGTTTGAAGCAATTACAAGTGATATGAGAGGTGGAACCTGATTGGTCAGTAGGAGGGACATAGAAGGGACAAAACTCGTAAAAGACCAGAAATTCCAGCCTAGTTCCAGCCTAGTTCGGCAAGGAACTGGTCTTTTAAAATCAGTTACCTCGGGAAGATGGTGTATAATAACAGTTTTGAATATTTTGTACTTTCGACATGACCAGCACCATGGTCGCCGAGTGCCACAGTTCCCTGTCCTGAGTTATATAGCTTGAGCTTGCCGCATCTTTCCAAAAGGCATCAAGGAGATAAAACAAGGACTGGTTGGAGTCAAGATGCATGTAATGTGTCTGTGTGGGATCAATCTCATTAAAATCAGACCTCAGTTCTCGCTACCGCTAAACAAAGATCTGAGGACATCCCATTAGGGGTCACGTCAGAACGACCTTTCATCCGACCCGTCAGAGCGTCGCTTACCAGATTATGAAAGTGACAGTGGGAATGTGATTCCTGATCATGCAGGCTCGAAAACTTTAACTCCGAACAATAGTTATGGGTTTAACGACTGAATCCATACAATCTGGACCATCTATTAGCCATTCCAGAATGTTCTTTTGTTCAGGGTTCAAATCTGTAATCGAGAATATGTCAAAATATGTTTCGAAGTGTAGTCGCCAATTTGAAATTAGTGCAGTAAAGCTGCATTCTGATTGGTCATTCTATTGGTCGGTCAAAATTTGCGCAAGGTCAGTTTGACGTGATCTGTAATGGGATGTCCTCAGATCTTTGTTTAGCAGTAGCGAGAACTAAGATCTGATTTTAATGAGATTGGAGTCAATATGCATGTAATGTGTCTGTGTGGGATATCCTGGCCTGGCACTATACAACCGACATTATTCCAGGCTGGTACAAGCAGCCACACACGCACACACTTGCATTCAGGTTCCAATAATCTTGAACGCGACATTGATCCCCATTCCACCTCAAGCCATTTTGTCATAATTTTAATTATTTGAACATCTGAGCTGATATCAAGTGGAAATTGACTATAAAACCAACATTAGTCTGCACTAGTACAATCAGCCACTGGTACACGTGCACTTACGCAGACTAACGGGGTCGGCTGGTCAGGCTCGCTGACTTGGTTGATGCATGTCATCAATACCAACTGCATGCATCGGTGCTCATATTGTCAATCACTGGATTGTCTGGTCCAGACTCGATGATTTACAGACTGTCGTCATATAGCTGGAATATTGCTGAGTGCGGCAACAAACAAACAAACAAACTTATGCAGACGCTCACACTCATGTGCACACACACACATGGACACGAGCGCACGCACACACGCACGCACACACACACACACACACACACACACACACACACACACACGCACGCAACAATCTTGGTTGTGACATTAAAACCCATTTCACCTCACCTTCCATGAAATTGATCCAGCAAATGTTCTTTCTGCAGTTTGATGTCGTAGCCCAGCTGTTTGAAGAGGCTAGCGATAAGAAGACAAGGTCAGGGTCAGTGACGGTCACTCCGCTACGCCAGTCGGCCAAGACGGGCAGCAAGCAACACAAGAAAACAGTTGGATCACAGTTCCGAGACTCTCTCAAGCTACTGATGGAGACGCTGAATGCAACCACACCCCACTACATCCGATGTATCAAGCCCAATGACTTGAAAGAAGCGTTTGAGTAAGGATATTTACAGGAGATTGCTCGTTCATAAGTGTAAAAAATTCAGGGGGGTAATGAAATAAAATCATGTGATGTGATCATCAATCGATGCTCATGATTTCAATCACTTGATTGTTTGGTCCTGACTTAATCGCTTACAGACCCCGGCTTTGAACAAACAACAAAATCTTACTTCTCAAACAAAGAATCAAATGTTGAAAATAAGAAAATACAATGGTTAAGAAGTTTATACAGTCAAAGCTGTTTCTGTTTTGATCATGTGTGGACGCGTGACAAGGACGGATTTGTTTCTTCAGGTTCAACTCAACGCGAGCTGTGGAGCAACTGAGAGCTTGTGGAGTGCTGGAGACGATCCGTATCAGTGCTGCCGGGTACCCCTCAAGGTGAATATTGCTGGTTGCCCCGGCTACAAGTTATTATCCCCTCCTAAAAATGGAATGGGTATATAGGAATGGGTGTTGTCCATCTGTCCGTCAATCCACCCATTGGTCATGTTCCGTTTCCGGAGCAGAACTCAAAAACCATGAGAGATATCTTAACCAAATTTGGCACAAAGATATGTCTAATAGTGGACTGGTGCCTTTTGATAGTTTGGGATTTGTAAGAAAATTGGCGGTTTTGTTGGGGGATATGAGTATTTGATGCTTGTTTACAGACTAATGTCAGATTCTCTGACTCATAATAAAATTGCAGAAGTTGCACTTTCCTTCCGGAGCCCAGTGGGCATTCCAGGAAAGAAATGAGGGTCTCAGGGAAACTGTCTGCCCGTGAAGATTCGGCGATAGAATAGGTCTTCAGTAACCCATTAAGGCGACTATGCTTGTCGTAAGAGGCGACTAATAGGATCGGATCATCAGGCTCGCTGACTTGGTTGATCAATGCTCATGATATCAATCACTGGATTGTCTGGTCCAGACTCAAATATTTACAGACTGCCATCATATAGCTGGAATATTGCTGAGTGTGGCGTCAAACAATAAACAAACAAACAAGTACAAATGAATTAATTTCAGTGAATTATTAAAATCAGTGTTCGAAATTGAAGGGATGGTGTAGATCCTGCTGGGGAACCGTGCATGTAGCAGAAATAAGTCCCATGGTCCTTAGCATGATGGTTTCTGGAGATCTAAAGGCTTTTTTATATTGTGTTGTTTATGGTTGTTTATCCTTGTACAGGTTCTCAAACTAGTTTTACCTCAAATCTGTGATAGTCTAGTTATTGTACTGTCCTTCGTAGACAGGTTTTATGCAATCTAAATATATTTGTTGTCAATGTGCAACTGTCTCGTTAAATCACTAAATCTTCCGGATGTTTGACTGTCCCTCCCTCACTCCCTCCCTCCCACTCACCCACCCACCCACCCACCTACACACTCATTCACTCTCGCTCCCTCCCTCACTCCCTCCCTCCCACTCACTCACTCACCCAATCCCACTCACTCACTCACCCAATCCCACTCACTCCCTCCCTCCCACCCACCCACTCACTCACTCACTCACTCACTCACTCACCCACCCACCCACTCACTCACTCACTCACTCACTCGCTCGCTCGCTCGCCCGCCCACCCACCCACTCACTCACTCACTCACTCGCTCGCTCGCCCGCCCACCCACCCACCCACTCACTCACTCACTCACCCACCCACCCACCCACTCACTTACTCACTCACTCACTCGCTCGCTCGCTCGCCCGCCCACCCACCCAACCACCCACTCACTCACCCACTCGAAATTCAGCATGGGAGTCAAGGGGTCTTTGTCATAAGACCGCCTCCGTGGCCTAGTGCATCACTTCGGGCTTTCCAAGCTGACATGCCACGATGTATATATGGAATACTGTTCAATACTTATCTTCCATATCCTTGTTTCCAGGTGGACGTATGCCGAGTTTTTCCAGCGCTATCGTGTCCTGGCTATTTCCAAGGACATCCTGAAGAAGAACCTGTTGAAGACGTGTGAAAATATCCTCGTCAAGCTGATTGCAGTAAGTACTTTAGGTGAATTGCAGGACACAAAAAAAGCAAGAAAAAAAGTTTTCTTCACTGTGTTGTCCTATGAAACTGTTCTCAACCGTATAAAGTAGCCTGATACTTGACACAATTTTTTTAATAATGTTAATTGTTTGTTGCATTTATCAATATTTTACAGAAAAACAAATAACAATGACCTCAGGATGGTAGAAATAACATCAATCTCTGTACTCCTTGGGGGGGCACGGGTGGCCCAGTCGTCTAAGGCGCCGCGATTCGCTGTGCAGAGTTGCGTCCCTATGATTGTGGGTTCGCGTCCCGGTTCGCCCCGATTATGTTTCTAGGTTTGTCAGCACCATACCTGTGCTCATGGGTTTCACCGAAGTGGTAAACGTCTGAGACCTGCATCACTTCGGGCTTTCCTCCCACATTAAGCTGTCACGTTGTGATATAACTTGAATACTGTTAAAAGTGGCATTAAACCCAACTCACTCACTCACTCACTGTACTCCTTGGACAGCACTAGCGTGGAAACGTGTATAAAGACTATCAAAAGATTTTATGACAATCCATGTATAATACCTTTAGCATTTTTTTAAAAAGCAAAAATGGCTGTATACTCAGAAATGTAGCTAAGTATGTGAAGGAAGCTCTATTACTACGTACAAAGACCTAATATTATACCTAAGTATTGTTTTCAATGTAAATTGCCTCAATTGTGTGTTACTATATATAGCTGAAATATACATGCGTCTGTGGCCTCTCATACATGAATAAAATATATATACCAAAACAAAGCATGACATGATGCTAAGAACTTGTTAGAGGAATCTTTGTTACAATCTATTAGAGAGAAATGTGTAGTGATTATGTAGTGTTTTTTTTTTCTTTATTCTGAAAAGTATAGAATAGTGGAATAGTTTTATGAAACTTTTTTTTTCAAATAATTTTTTTAAATGTATAGTGATAACGTTAATTGGATCAATGTTTCTATCAGTGGTACAGTTTGATTTGGGGATTGAAGGGGTTCTGGCTTCTGTGACCTGTTCTCGTTGGTGATTCTCACAAAGTCTTGTTCATTCCTCAACGTAGGACCCTGACAGGTACAGGGACCCGTTCCACAAAGCGATTGTAGCGCTAAGACGAATGTAACGCCAATACTTTAACATTGACTTACGACTGTCATAGCACTACGATTGCTTTGTGGAACGGGACCCAGGTTTGGTAAGGAAACTGTAAAATAAATTAGGTAACATTTGAAACCAATTCCTGTTCTCCTTGGTGATTTTCACAAGGTCTTGTTGATTCCTCTTCGTAGGACCCTGACAAGTAAAGGTTTGGTAACGAAACTGTAAAATAAATTGGGTAACATTTGATGCCCACTCCTGTTCTCCTTGGTGATTCTCACAAAGTCTTGTTGATTCCTCCTCGTAGGACCCTGACAAGTACAGGTTTGGAAAGACGAAGATATTCTTCAGAGCGGGTCAAGTGGCGTACCTGGAGAAGCTGAGAGCAGACAAGCTCCGTGCATGCGGCGTCATGATCCAGAAGCACATCCGGGGCTGGCTGCTGCGCCGCAAGTACCAGAGAATCAGGAAGTCTGTGCTGCTGGTGCAGAGGTTCGGGCGGGGCCTGCTGGCTAGAAGGTAGGCGGTCCTACTCACGGTGGATGCAGCTCTTGTATTGATGGGGACCGTTGGTTGCTGGCCGTGCTCACATTGTAGTCTTTGTGTAGATGGGGCAGTTAAGGGAGTTAACTCTGTTCAGATGAGGACTGCTGTCCGTACTCACATTGTAGTCCTTGGGTAGATGGGGCAGTTAAGGGAGGTAACTCTGTTCAGATGAGGACTGCTGGCCGTGCTCACATTGTAGTCCTTGTGTAGATGGGGCAGTTAGGGGAGGTAACTCTGTTCAGATGAGGACTGCTGTCCGTACTCACATTGTAGTCCTTGTGTGATGGGGCAGTTAAGGGAGGTAACTCTGTTCAGATGAGGACTGCTGGCCGTGCTCACATTGTAGTCCTTGTGTAGATGGGGCAGTTAAGGGAGGTAACTCTGTTCAGATGAGGACTGCTGGCCGTGCTCACATTGTAGTCCTTGTGTAGATGGGGGTGTTAGGGGAGTTAACTCTGTTCAGATGAGGACTGCTGTCCGTGCTCACATTGTAGTCCTTGTGTAGATGGGGCAGTTAGGGGAGGTAACTGTTCAGATCAGGACTGCTGGCCGTGCTCACATTGTAGTCCTTGTGTAGATGGGGGTGTTAGGGGAGTTAACTCTGTTCAGATGAGGACTGCTGTCCGTGCTCACATTGTAGTCCTTGTGTAGATGGGGCAGTTAGGGGAGGTAACTCTGTTCAGATGAGGACTGCTGGCCGTGCTCACATTGTAGTCCTTGTGTAGATGGGGCAGTTAAGGGAGGTAACTCTGTTCAGATGAGGACTGCTGGCCGTGCTCACATTGTAGTCCTTGTGTAGATGGGGCAGTTAGGGGAGTTAACTCTGTTCAGATGAGGACTGCAGGCCGTGCTCACATTGTAGTCCTTGTGTAGATGGGGCAGTTAAGGGAGTTAACTCTGTTCAGATGAGGACTGCAGGCAGTGCTAACATTGTAGTCCTTGTGTAGATGGGGCAGTTAAGGGAGTTAACTCTGTTCAGATGAGGACTGCAGGCAGTGCTAACATTGTAGTCCTTGTGTAGATGGGGCAGTTAAGGGAGTTAACTCTGTTCAGATGAGGACTGCTGGCCGTGCTCACATTGTAGTCCTTGTGTAGATGGGGGTGTTAGGGGAGTTAACTCTGTTCAGATGAGGACTGCTGTCCGTGCTCACATTGTAGTCCTTGTGTAGATTTGGGTGTTGAGGGAATGCTAGCTAGCAGGTAGGCTGTCCGGGCTGGAGGTATGTCCAGCTCTTGATGGGGGAATTTAAGGGAGATAACTCTGTACAGATTAGGACTGCAGGCTCAAATGTAGGCTGTCCATACACAGGCTGTAGTCCTTGTGTAGATGGGGGTGTTGAGGGAATGCTAGCTAGCAGGTAGGCTGTCCGGGCTGGAGGTATGTCCAGCTCTTGATGGGGGAATTTAAGGGAGATAACTCTGTACAGATTAGGACTGCAGGCTCAAATGTAGGCTGTCCATACACAGGCTGTAGTCCTTGTGTAGATGGGGGTGTTGAGGGAATGCGAGCTAGCAGGTAGGCTGTCCGTGCTGGAGGTATGTCTTAATGGGGTAATCAAGGGAGATAACTCTGTTCAGATGAGGACTGCTGGCCATGCTCACATTGTAGTCGTTCTGTAGATGGGGGTGTTGAGGGAGATAGCTCTAGTCAGATTAGGACTGTCGCGAAAAGCTGCCTTCAGAATCGTAAGGTTGTGGGTTCAAATCCCTGTTTTGCCCTGATTATTCTTGGTTTGTCAACTCCATACGAGTGGAAAACATCAAAGAACAGCATCCAGGGTTTTGAACTCTGCACTCAATAACTGCAATGCATGCCTTTTTGTTCTAGTGGTTAGAGCATCTGCACGAAAAGAGGATAAATATAGACTGATCGGTTTGGAGTTCGGAGTAGGGTATCAATGTTAACTTGCCTGATGGTACCTCAGTGGGCTGGCATTATAAAACCAGCATCAGTCCGGACTAGTACAAGCAGCCACACACATACATGTGCATGCAAGTCGCTATAAACATGCAGTTATCTTGAATGTGATTTAAACATCACCTCATCCCTGACTGGGGGGCATGGGTGGCCCAGTCGTCTAAGGCGCCGCGATTCGCTGTGCAGAGTTGCGTCCCTTGGGCACGCCAGAAACCCAGTTCGCCCCTATTATGTTTCTAGGTTTGTCAGCACCATACCCGTGCTCGTGGGTTTCACCGAAGTGGTAGACGTCTGAGACCTGCATCACTTCGGGCTTTCCTCCCACATTAAGCTGACACGCCGTGATATAACTGGAATACTGTTAAAAGCGGCGTTAAACCCAACTCACTCACTCACTCACTCATCCCTGACTGCACCATGTTGTATTGCCCACAGAATGGCTGTCCACCTCCGACAAACCCATGCTGCCATCGTCATCCAGTCGAAATGGAGGAGCTACAAGAAGTGGTCCGTCTACAGGAAGCTGCGGACATCTGTCATCCTCCTCCAGGTACACAGCTAGCCTGCCGCCCATGTCTAGTAATATAGACCAGTGGTGTGTTAAAGGGCATTAAGGCTTGTTCAGCCTCAAAGAGGGCGGTGGGATAGCCTATTGGTTAAGACGTTCTCTCGTCATAACGAAGAACAGTGTTCGTTTCCCCACATGGGTACAAAATGTGAAGCCCATTTCTGGTGTTCCCTGCCCTGATATTACGAGGCAACTTGAGTGGTACATTGGTATAATGAAGCAGAAGTTTGAGACTATTGATAACCTGTATATTTGTCCCTCTAGGCCAAGATACGAGGCAACTTCGCTCGTGAGCGGTACATTAGTATGATGAAGCAGAAGTTTGAGACTATTGATAACCTGTATATTTGTCCCTCCAGGCCAAGATACGAGGCAACTTTGCTCGTGATCGGTACATTGGTATGATGAAGCAGAAACGTGCAGTGACAATACAGCGCACGATCCGCGCATTCCTGGCCCGGAAGAGGTACAAGAGAGTGATGCGCGGCATCATCCTGCTGCAGTCCCACGTCCGCAGACGCAAAGCCAAGAGGGAGCTCAAGACTCTCAAGGTCAGACTAGCACTGTGTAGCGTGGACAAGTGGTATAGTTGTATAGCGTGTCTTATCCGCGTGGGGACTCTGGGTTAGAATAGGCCCCAAGCAAACTTCTCTGGTTTCAAGGGGCGGCCAAATGAATCGGATGGTGAAGCTTAATGATTTGGTTGGCAGCGTGTCATCATACCCTGATGGCATGGAATGATGCTCATGATATCAGACCCGTGAAGATCCGGGGTAAAATAGGTCTCCAGCAACCCATGCTCGCCTGTAAAAGGCGACTATGCTTGTCGTAAAAGGCAATCGGGATCGGGTGGTCAGGCTCGCTGACTTGGTTGATGCATGTCATCGATCCCAATTGTATGGATCAATGTTCATGATGTCAATCACTGAATTGTCTGGTCCAGAATCTAATTATTCACAGACCTCTGTCATATAGCTGGAATATTGATGAGTGCTGCACTAAACAACACATTAAACTAGTGTGCCGAGTTGTATGATGGTGGTTTGGAACTCAACATTCAGTCTGATTATGATGCTCTGTTTATCCACACTGTATCTATGCTCATTGGTTTCAACACCTGAATCACTTCGGCGCTGGCATATTTATTTTTTTGAATAATTTATTCCTGAAAATACTGAAAGAAAATAATGTTCCTTTGGTTTTACCACAACACAAAATTATTCACTGGACATCCTGCAAGTCCTAATACAAAGTCTCGTGTCTAGGGCACGGGTGGTCCAGTCGTCTAAGGTGCCACGCGTAGCTGTGCACAGTTGCGTCCCTTAGGCACGCCAGGAACCTATGATTGTGGGTTCGAATCCTGGTTCGCCCCCATTATGTTTCTAGGTTTGTCAGCACCATACCCGTGCTCGTGGGTTTCACCAAAGTGGTAAACGTCTGAGACCTGCATCATTTCGGGCTTGCCTCACACATTAAGCTGACACGCCGCGATATAACTGGAATACTGTTAAAAGCGGCATTAAACCCAACTCACTCACTCACTCTCGTGACTAGCTGCTCCTTGATCCAATGCAACCCGTGCTTGTCGCAAGAGTTGACCAACAGCATCGGGCAGTCAGGCTTGCTCTAATGCATGTCATCGTATCCCAATTGTGTAAATCGATGCTCATGATGTCAATCACTGAATATTTTTGTTTAAGTAGATACTTTCAAAATTTGTGACTGTAATTTGTGTTAGTGTTAATACTGCTGTCATGTCACTGGATTTTCTGGTCCGGACTCGATTGATTTTTGACAGCGATCTTATTTCAGGAGTATTGCTTGGTGAGGTGGCCAACAAACAGACACTTACTTTTTATTTCAAATTACGTCAGTTAGTGTAATCTGAATGTGGTTCTTCCCTCTTTTCAGATTGAAGCCAAGTCTGTTGAGCACATCAAGCATGTCAACAAGGGCTTGGAAAACAAGATCATTGAGCTGCAACAGAAGCTTGATACCAAGGTAAAACATTGTTATCAGGAATATAGCTTTATATTGACAATCAAGGTAATACATTGTTGTCAGGAATATAGCTTTATATTGACAATCAAGGTAATACATTGTTGTCAGGAATATAGCTTTATATTGACAATCAAGGTAATACATTGTTGTCAGGAATAGAGCTTTATATTGACAATCAAGGTAATACATTGTTGTCAGGAATTTAGCTTTATATTGACAATCAAGGTAATACATTGTTGTCAGGAATTTAGCTTTATATTGACAATCAAGGTAATACATTGTTGTCAGGAATATAGCTATATATTGACAATCAAAGTAAACAATTGTTGTCAGGAATATAGCTATATATTGACAATCAAGGTAATACATTGTTGTCAGGGATATAGCTCTATATTGACAATCAAGGTAAAACATTGTTGTCAGGAATATAGCTTTATATTGACAATCAAGGTAATACATTGTTGTCAGGAATTTAACTTTATATTGACAATCAAGGTAATACATTGTTGTCAGGAATATAGCTTTATATTGACAATCAAGGTAATACATTGTTGTCAGGAATATAGCTTTATATTGACAATCAAGGTAATACATTGTTGTCAGGGATATAGCTATATATTGACAATCAAGGATATACATTGTTGTCAGGAATATAGCTTTATATTGACAATCAAGGTAATACATTGTTGTCAGGGATATAGCTTTATATTGACAATCAAGGTAATACATTGTTGTCAGGAATATAGCTTTATATTGACAATCAAGGATATACATTGTTGTCAGGAATATAGCTTTATATTGACAATCAAGGTAATACATTGTTGTCAGGAATATAGCTATATATTGAATCTCCGGTAATACATTGTTGTCAGGAATATAGCTTTATATTGACAATCAAGGTAATACATTGTTGTCAGGAATTTAGCTTTATATTGACAATCAAGGTAATACATTGTTGTCAGGAATATAGCTATATATTGACAATCAAAGTAAACAATTGTTGTCAGGAATATAGCTATATATTGACAATCAAGGTAATACATTGTTGTCAGGGATATAGCTCTATATTGACAATCAAGGTAAAACATTGTTGTCAGGAATATAGCTTTATATTGACAATCAAGGTAATACATTGTTGTCAGGAATTTAACTTTATATTGACAATCAAGGTAATACATTGTTGTCAGGAATATAGCTTTATATTGACAATCAAGGTAATACATTGTTGTCAGGAATATAGCTTTATATTGACAATCAAGGTAATACATTGTTGTCAGGGATATAGCTTTATATTGACAATCAAGGTAATACATTGTTGTCAGGAATATAGCTTTATATTGACAATCAAGGATATACATTGTTGTCAGGAATAGAGCTTTATATTGACAATCAAGGTAATACATTGTTGTCAGGAATATAGCTATATATTGAATCTCCGGTAATACATTGTTGTCAGGAATATAGCTTTATATTGACAATCAAGGTAATACATTGTTGTCAGGAATATAGCTTTATATTGACAATCAAGGTAATACATTGTTGTCAGGGATATAGCTATATATTGACAATCAAGGATATACATTGTTGTCAGGAATATAGCTTTATATTGACAATCAAGGTAATACATTGTTGTCAGGAATATAGCTATATATTGAATCTCCGGTAATACATTGTTGTCAGGAATATAGCTTTATATTGACAATCAAGGATATACATTGTTGTCAGGAATAGAGCTTTATATTGACAATCAAGGATATACATTGTTGTCAGGAATATAGCTATATATTGACAATCAAGGTAATACATTGTTGTCAGGAATATAGCTTTATATTCACAATCAAGGTAATGCATTGTAGACAGGAATATAGCTTTATTTTGACAATCGAGGTAATACATTGTTGTAAGGAATATAGCTGCGAATATACCCGTGATTGTTGGTTCGAATCCAGGGTCGCACCGATTATGTTTCTAGGTTTGTCAGCACCATCTTTGTGCTTATGGGTTTCACTAAAGTGGTAAACGTCTGAGATCTGCATCACTTTGGGCTTTCCTCCCCCATTAGGCTGACATGCCATGGTATAATACTGGAATACTGTTCAAAGCAGCTTTAAAACCCAACTCACTCTCTCACTCACTCATGACGTGGGTAGTTGTAACCTTTAGCTGACTGATTGCTCTGCTCCAGGCTAAGGCTGTTCAAGCGCTCCAAGTTAGCGAGAAGAACGTTGAGGAGATGAAGACAGAAATCCAGAAACTGCGGTCTTCGGACCAGGTTGCCAAGACGTCATCCAATCGTGTGCGTGAACTGGAGGAGGAGATCGCACGTCTCAAGGAGGACCTCGAGAGCGAGCGTGGTGAGAAAGAAGATGTAATATCGGAGAAACAGTTGCTGCAGAAGAATCTGCATGAGGTCAGTAGCTTCTTCAGGTTCAAATGGATCTGGTTTTGTAGATATAAGAAATATGTCAATTTCACTGAGACACAAGATTAATATCCATCATCGTATTCTTTTTTTTTCAAAATGTTTGGAAGTGATCTTGTGATGATGTGTTGTAAACTCCAGTGATTTAATTGCCTAATTGACAAAAAAATGGAACTAAAAACAGAACGTAGCTGCTGCTGTTTAATCTGATGATGATTATGATGATAACAAATTTGATGATGATGATGATGATATTAGATGGTGATTGTGATGATGATGATGATGATGATGATATTACATGATGATGGTGGTGATGATGATGATGATGATGATGATGATGATGATGATATTAGATGGTGATTGTGATGATGATATTAGATGATGATGATATTACATGATGGTGATGATGATGATGATGATGATGATGTGTTCCAGATGGTGACCAAGTTTGAAGATGAGCAAGTGAGGTTAAAGGAGGACCTTGATGCTGCAAACCTCCTACTGAAACAGCAAGAAGAACAAAATACACGTATGTACAAAAGAGTAACCTCCCTTGGGTGAAGGTCATGGAAGTAAGAATGGCTTTGTATTGATAGATATAAAACCTGCCATCTGACGTCCTGGTTGACATTCTTCCAATAGTATTTTTGGAAGAAGAAATCAATTCATTCTTGGGCATGAAGTTTTTTTCAAATGTGAAAGAGAATGGTGCAGAAATGTCCATGTTTTTATAGTCACTTTATATACAATGCTTTCTTGCAAGTAGGTTTTATTGTATGAGAACCAAAAATGTATGATTCCTTTGAATACCTTACCTCTATTACATCATCGCCAATATTCTTGCAATTTGCTTAACATCACTGTAAAAAATATTTAGATTTTCAGCAGAAGTCCTCTGCACTGTCAGCCATCCTAATCAGTTGTTAGGAACACCGCATATCGTGCCAATGCCTCAGCGCATGTGCATAGCCTAACACCTGAAACTCTTTTATGATATTGAGCACACATATTTGTGTTACAATTCAGTGCTAAAGTATCATTGTTTATCAACTAAAGACAACTATTGATATGTTGTATTATTTTTCGCTTACAAATTAGTTTGGTTTTTTTTGTCTGAGAATCAAAAATAATTTTTTCGTCTATATTAAAGTTCATTCCTTTTTCCAGAAATTATAAAGGAGAAGCTGGAAGCTGCCAACAAACGTCTCTTGGAGGAGTTTGAGTCAGAGCGAGGCCACCACCAGAAGATGGTGCGAGAACACGGCCGTCTTCAGCAGCGGCTTGAGAACCTGCAGGGGGAGATGAGCGTCCTGAAGAGCCCCACCGGCGGCCACCACAGAACCCCCTCAGACATCAGCGCCATCAGTGTGGACTCGTACAGCAGCTCTGCCGACGTGGAGAGGGGAGCCGAGGACAGGCGAGAGGACGATGAGGTGAGATCAGGATCCCTACACCCGATGCTTGGAGCTGTCTTAGTGCTACTAGAATTGATCTTGACCAAGCTATGCTGGTTCCGATGAATGGGATCGGGTAGTCAGGCTTGCTGACTTGGCTGAAGCATGTCATCGTATCCAAATTGTGTAGAATGATGCTCATGATATCAATCACTGGATTGTCTGGTCCCAACTCAATTATTTACAGACCGCTGTCATGTAGCTGGAATATTGCTGAGTGCGGCATTAAACAAACAAACAAATCATATAGCTAAAATATTGCTGGACTTCGGCGTTAAACAAGAAACAAACACAAACAAATAACTAAACAAGAATATAAACTGGTCTGGTAACAACAAACAAACAATATTTCAGGACCTGGGTTACGAGACAGCCAAGAGGAAGGCAGCGCCACCTACCAGTCTACTTGACACGGTCTTGAATGAGGTCACAGGGAAGAAGGTAAAGGTCAAGTCTGATCTGTTGTCTTCAGGAATCGGTGCAGGGACCACGCCCCTTTATGTGCCGGTGTGCCTGTAACATTGTTGGAGCAATTTTTATTGTGACTTCATGTGAAATGTCGGAAACACTGTTCAGAGTAGTGTTATGTTTGCTTGACTCAAGCCGTGAAATATCGGAAACTCTCCACTGAATAATGTTATGTCTGCCCGACTCAAGCCATGAAATATTGGAAACTCTCCTCTGAATAGTGTTATGTCTGCCCGACTCAATCAGTCCCTCACTAACTCTTCACACACAAAGTTGCTCCCTCACTGACTCCCTCCCTGATTCGCTGTGCGTGTCCCTGTCTGCGGGAGGGTGAGCTGATAGATGTGGGTCTACTCACTCACTCTCTCCCCCCATCACTCACTGTGTTTGTCCCTGTCTGCAGGAGGGTGAGCTGATAGATGTGGGTCTACTCACTCACTCTCTCCCCCCATCACTCACTGTGTGTGTCCCTGTCTGCGGGAGGGTGAGCTGATTGATGTGGGTCTGCTCACTCTCTCCCCCCATCACTCACTGTGTGTGTCCCTGTCTGCGGGAGGGTGAGCTGATAGATGTGGGTCTGCTCACTCACTCTCTCCCCCCATCACTCACTGTGTGTGTCCCTGTCTGCAGGAGGGTGAGCTGAAAGATGTGGGTCTGCTCACTCACTCTCTCCCCCCATCACTCACTGTGTGTGTCCCTGTCTGCGGGAGGGTGAGCTGATTGATGTGGGTCTGCTCACTCTCTCCCCCCATCACTCACTGTGTGTGTCCCTGTCTGCGGGAGGGTGAGCTGATTGATGTGGGTCTGCTCACTCTCTCCCCCCATCACTCACTGTGTGTGTCCCTGTCTGCAGGAGGGTGAGCTGATAGATGTGGGTCTGCTCACTCACTCTCTCCCCCCATCACTCACTGTGTGTGTCCCTGTCTGCAGGAGGGTGAGCCACTAGATGTGGGTCTACTCACTCACTCTCTCCCCCCATCACTGACTGTGTGTGTCCCTGTCTGCAGGAGGGTGAGCCACTAGATGTGGGTCTACTCACTCACTCTCTCCCCCCATCACTGACTGTGTGTGTCCCTGTCTGCAGGAGGGTGAGCCACTAGATGTGGGTCTACTCACTCACTCTCTCCCCCCATCACTCACTGTGTGTGTCCCTGTCTGCAGGAGGGTGAGCCACTAGATGTGGGTCTACTCACTCACTCTCTCCCCCCATCACTCACTGTGTGTGTCCCTGTCTGCAGGAGGGTGAGCCACTAGATGTGGGTCTACTCACTCACTCTCTCCCCCCATCACTCACTGTGTGTGTCCCTGTCTGCGGGAGGGTGAGCCACTAGATGTGGGTCTACTCACTCACTCTCTCCCCCCATCACTCACTGTGTGTGTCCCTGTCTGCGGGAGGGTGAGCTGATTGATGTGGGTCTGCTCACTCTCTCCCCCCATCACTCACTGTGTGTGTCCCTGTCTGCAGGAGGGTGAGCCACTAGATGTGGGTCTACTCACTCACTCTCTCCCCCCATCACTCACTGTGTGTGTCCCTGTCTGCGGGAGGGTGAGCCACTAGATGTGGGTCTACTCACTCACTCTCTCCCCCCATCACTCACTGTGTGTGTCCCTGTCTGCAGGAGGGTGAGCCACTAGATGTGGGTCTACTCACTCACTCTCTCCCCCCATCACTCACTGTGTGTGTCCCTGTCTGCAGGAGGGTGAGCCACTAGATGTGGGTCTACTCACTCACTCTCTCCCCCCATCACTCACTGTGTGTGTCCCTGTCTGCAGGAGGGTGAGCCACTAGATGTGGGTCTGGTGCTGAAGCTGCAGAACCGCGTGAAGGAGTTGGAGCGAGACAAGCAGTCCCTGCAGCGCCGTGTGGAACGGATGGAGGAGGACAGTCCACGGGCGTCGCCCACCATGATGTCCGACTCCGCCTTCGAGGCTCTCAAGGTACTCACAGTTGTCATGGAAACACATCTTGTGGTCGTCTACTTTTGTTTTATTGGATGTGGGTTATTTGGGAACCTTGGTTGGAATAAAACTAGTATGTATGTTGTTGTATTATTAAGTCCATTTATTTATTTATTTGGTATGGAGATTAATAAATGTTCATATGCCATATCATCCATGTAAACAAATAAAGTATTTGATATGAAAGAACCGTTTAGATAGTCTTAGTTGTCTGTTACTGACAGCTTCAATCAATCATTCTTATCAACAATTAAGACAACAAAGTTAACACATTATTTTCTTCCCTTGTTTTGATGGAATATTTTTCTTAAGGGATATTCTTCCTTTAATAAATAAAAAAAATATTTCTTTTGAAATGAGCATTATTTTTATTCTTTGAGGAAGTTTTTCTCCTTTACAAAATGAAAAACATATAGAAATTGTTTCTTATACGACCTACCCTCCCGAAAAAAAGTCTTTGAAAATTATTGTGATTTTAACACTTTCTTGAATTGGAAAAGGAATTGGTTTTCACTAAAAATAGGTGCATGCCAAAGTTAAATTTGTATGTTTTTTTGTTTCTTGGAAATGATGTTGTCGGACATGAGGATAGCATGGCTTCCTTGTGTACTTCTTGTCACCAAGCTGGTATTAATCCAGTTTACGATATCCCTGCACCAAACACATTGCTGTTCTCAAAACATTGATCCGGCGAAGTTAGTTGAAACATATTGTTGAATAATGGCTGAATATGATTTGAGGCTTAAAAGATGATTTTGCTACTACTGAAGTGTTGATTAATTACAGAAATGAATTAAAATCATTTAATTCATCTCAAATATGGCCAGCTGGTAAAGAATATTTTCTTGGTTGTTATACAGATTTGCTTATTTTGAAATCATTGTAAATGTTTGTAAGCCATTTGTTTTGAGAACTCTAACAGTGTTTTTTTTTCCCCATCCTGCTAATGTATGGCTTCCAGTTATTGCTCATGTGACCTTTTGCCTTGACCTTGACCTTTACCTGACCTTGACCCTGACCTTCCTCCACAGCAAGAAATGGGCGCAAATGCAGATGACGTTGCCCTTGTAATTAAGCTACAAAAGCGGGTAAAGGCTTTAGAGGTCGTTAAAAACAAACTGACAAACGAGTTGGAAGAGCGAGATGATAACGAAAATGGCCAAGAGAGAATCGGTGGTGACCTCGCCTATGAGAGTTTGAAGGTATATGCAACGCCTGCCACCCGCCGCAAGGGTCGGGCTTCACACAATGCATGATGGGAGCCTTTACTGTCTCCCGCTGACTGCCTGTTTTAACCCTTACTGTTGCATTGATATTTAACCAAATGACTGCCTGATTTAACCCTTACTGTTGCATTGATATTTAACCAAAGGAGATTTGTATGTCCTCAAAAAAGATTTGACAGTTTAATGTATATCAAAGAAACATTATGATTTTGAAACAAATTCACTTAAATCCGGTGAGGTAACACTCAAAATTTGGTTTAAAAATAAAGTCATCTTCAGAGAACTTTTTTCAGTTTCACTGAGAGCTTCATACTTTCGAAAATATATCACCTTTTATTTGTTTGTTTAATATTCTTTTACCATATTTTGGGGGAGGGTTTATTCTTTTCTTTTTCTTTTTAAGTTCTACTTTTCTAAAGTTTTGAGGTACAAATCTCTCTGTTTCAGCTTGATCTTGCATCCTCCACTCTCCTCTCTTCTCTTCCAGCTGTTACTATAGATACTAGACAATGTCACAATCGTAACATTTTCAGAAAAATCTAAACTGAACATGGGATCATGAATATTTTGGGGAATATTTTTATGAAATTGAGCTCAGTTTTCACCCCAAAAAATATTCCCAAAATTATTCTTGATCCTTAACTTTTTTGGTTAAGTATATTTGGTCAAATCTCTAAATGGGATGAGAAATTATAACTCTGTGTGTGATGTGCATTGCAACATGTATAACCTATGTATACCAAGGTAGGTCGACATGAGTGGCTTGTCATATATACGTCTATCAGCTTCCGTCTTCCTCGACTCACAGGGACCATTTATCTCCATGTTGTTCCAATACTACCCTGAAGCCACTGAACTTGATGTTACTGGTGTCCATAGTCAGTGTTTGAAATAAGGTTTAAAACACCCAAAAAGACAGTAGGGCAGGAGACCCATGAGTTAAAAAACAAACAGACAAACAAAAAATGTCAGTCCCTGACATTGGCCGAAAAACTCACCTCACTCCCTGACATTGGCTGAAAAACTCACCTCACTCCCTGACATCGGCTGAAAAACTCACCTCACTCCCTGACATAGGCTGAAAAACTCACCTCACTCCCTGACATCGGCTGAAAAACTCACCTCACTCCCTGACATAGGCTGAAAAACTCACCTCACTCCCTGACATCGGCTGAAAAACTCACCTCACTCCCTGACATAGGCTGAAAAACTCACCTCACTCCCTGACAGGCTGAAAAACTCACCTCACTCCATGACATAGGCTGAAAAACTCACCTCACTCCCTGACATCGGCTGAAAAACTCACCTCACTCCCTGACATAGGCTGAAAAACTCACCTCACTCCCTGACAGGCTGAAAAACTCACCTCACTCCCTGACATAGGCTGAAAAACTCACCTCACTCCCTGACATAGGCTAAAAAACACACCTCACTCCCTGACATAGGCTGAAAAACTCACCTCATTCTCTGACATTGGCTGAAAAACTCACCTCACTCCCTGACATAGGCTGAAAAACTCACCTCACTCCCTGACATTGGCTGAAAAACTCACCTCACTCCCTGACATTGGCTGAAAAACTCACCTCATTCCCTGACAGGCTGAAAAACTCACCTCACTCCCTGACAGGCTGAAAAACTCACCTCACTCCCTGACATAGGCTAAAAAACTCACCTCACTCCCTGACATAGGCTGAAAAACTCACCTCATTCCCTGACATTGGCTGAAAAACACACCTCACTCCCTGAAAATGTAACATCACCTTCAGTGTGCTCAGGCTATTGGTTGAACAAGGAGACAGGTGCCCTGCAGGATCTAACAGTGTCTAGGCTTATTATGAACACTCTGTACTTATGTCACTATGGTAGGATTTAGTTGAACCAGGGCTTTATCTAGACCCGCTCAGAGGCGGTCACAAGTCTGTAGCACATGTCGGTAAGACGTCTGTAGCAAATGTCAGTAAGACGTCTGCAGAATATGTCAGTAAGAAGTCTGCAGCAAATGTCAGTGAAAGGTCTGCAGTATATGCCAGTAAAACGTCTGTAGTGTACGTCAGTAAACATTCCCCATTTTGGAGATTTCCCCATTCATATTATTTAAGTTATACATGTAACTAAGTTATTATTTATGTTATGACTGCAGAGTTGACTTTTTTCCAGGCTTTGATGCTTGCTTTTTACATTATTTCACTGAAAACCATGTTAAGATACCCCTGAATTAATGAAAATATGATCATTTAGAAAATTTCTCGTTTAACACAACAAATGTTTTGGGACCCAATTTGACTCCCAAAGACCCTAGTCTTGGAACCCTAGATAAATCCCTCTGAATTCTTGTTTCAACTTTAATCTGTTCAATTTATGTTCATCTCAAACTTGCTTTTGGGGCCCATTTTTATTCATGTCTGTTTGCTTTTTGCTTTGCCTAGAAAAAATATGATCAGAAATGTCTTTGGGGTGTTTCCTAAAGCACCAAAATGATCAAGTTGAATTTATCCCAGTAGGATAAATGCAGGTTCTTAATTAAATTGTTTTTACATTTTGTTGACAAGTGTGAATAATATTTGAGACTAATAAAGTAGCATGACTTCCTAACAGTGTAGGGGCGGTCGGGTAGCCTAGTGGTTAAAGCCTTCGCTCGTCATGCCAAAGACCCGGGTTCGATTCCCGACATGGGTACAATGTGTGAAGCCCATTTCTGGTGTCCCCCACCGTGATATTGCTGGAATATGCTAAAAGCGACGTAAAGCCGTACTCACTCACTCACTCCTAACAGTGCAGGGTCCTTTGACATTAACATGATGAATGTATGTGTGTTATGTGGAGCTCTGACTCAGAAACAGTCATTCTTTTCATGTCATTCCACAAATCTCACTTTTCTCTTTTTTCACAAATGTCACAAAATATCTATTTGGTTTGCATGAAAAAAGATAGGTGATTAGATGTGAACTGACATGTCACGCGTTGACGATGTCCAAGACCAAAGGGAAGTAACTCATGCATCTATATGTTGCCGTAGAAACAAACTGTTAATTGAACACATAATTAATTGTCATATATGGAAAATGTGTATATTTTTAATGACACTTTCCTTGATTAGGTTAACGTTGGCCTTTTCGTCCTAATTACAAATACTTTAATGAAATATGAAAGAATTTGAGGGACACCCTGTTTATTTCCAGTTCGCCGATTTCAAATTCAATATGAGAAGTTGTTGATGTGTTAATATCGGGCTTCACGTCATGTGAGGCATAATAAGGTTTTAATTAAGCTACTTTCTTTACAAAGTTAATGACTGTTTCCAGATGCAGGAACTTCAGAACGAGAACGACAAACTGAAGCGAGAAGTGTCCTCCCTCAACAAGTCCATTGCCGCAAGTACAAACTTTGACAACAGTGGCAAAATGTCCCCCGCTGGGAAGAAGTTCCTCGGTGAGTGGTTTATGGGTATTAATAGTTTACGTGTTTGTCAGGCAATTCTCAGAATTTGATTCGATTACCCAAATGGGTACAATGTGTGAAGGGGCGGTCGGGTAGCCTAGTGGTTAAAGCGTTCGCTCGTCACGCCGAATACCCGGGTTTGATTCCCGACATGGGTACAATGTGTGAAGCCCATTTCTGGTGTCCCCCACCAGGATATTGCTGGAATATTACTAAAACGGGAGTAAAATCAAACTCACTCACTCAGAATGTGATGTAATGGCCGTCAAGTGACGAACCAGTTCTGTTGATGCAGCTGAAAACTATCGCTTCAAGACCATGTCTTTATTATAAGCATGATTGAAAATACAGGACTCTTTGTCATAACGCTTGTTGGACTAACAGGATCTGGTGGTCAGGCTCGCTGACTTGGTTGATGCATGTCATTGTATCCCAGTTGTATAGATCTCTGCTCATGGTGTCAGTCACTGGATTGTCTGGTCCAGACTCGATTCTTTACAGACTTCCATCATATGGCTGGAATATTACTGAGTGTGGTGTTAAACAACAAACAGGCAATACAGAACCCTATCGTTAAAAGTTAAAGGGCCTCAAATTCACACAGAAGATGACAACCAAGTTCAGTCTTGTAGAATCATTGGATTTTGCAAACAAATGATGTTGGTATTGAGGTAGGGCTTTTAGTACTATCACAGTGGTCACAATGCTGCAACTCAAGGCGCCGTAGATGCTGGATCACCTGGCATTGGGTTTGAATCTCAGTCTCCATGACGATGTTTCACTGACATGTTTGGGGAATCCAGGGCGTGCTTACCCCCTCTGTCTCTCCCCCACCCCTCTCTTATTTTCAGACATCCTACATGTAGAACTGAGTTCCTATCATGTCTGGTTCACTGTGGGACGTGGGGGCACGGGTGGCCCAGTTGTCTAAGCACCACGATTCACTGTGCAGAGTTGTGTCCCTTGGGCATGCCAGAAACCTATGATTGTGGGTTCGAATCCCGGTTCGCCCCGATTATGTTTCTATGCTCATGGGTTTCACTGAAGTGGTAAACGTTTGAGACCTGCATCACTTCGGGCTTTCCTCCCACATTATGCTGACACGCCGTGGTATAACTGGAATACTGTTAAAAGCGGCGTTTAACCCAACTCACTCACTCACTCACTGTGGGACTTAGTGGTGGGCACCCACTAATTTTTCAAATCTCTGCATCTGCTTCTATAGATCATTGACTGATTAGCACCAGTTGGTCATCCAAGTGATGTAAACTCCTTTACCGTATTCGACGTAATAAGCGCCCCGTTCTAATAAGCACCCACAGCGACATTAGCTAAGATATTAGCTAGTGAACAATCCCAATTAGCACCCCTTCCGATTGATCAATGTACACAAGACTCATTTATTCGCGTATAATACGCCATCGTGTGTTATATGCACCCTTAATTATGGGCATTTAATTCTGGAAAAATATATCTGTTGTACATAAGCATTTCAGGCTGACAGCATAAACCACAAAATTTATTACGTCGAATACGGTATTTAAAAATGATGCCCTTGTTCCAATACAGTAAATTTCTGAATAACATTTTAGATATTGACTATACAGCTGGAAAAAAATCGAGCACCATTCCTTCATGATGCAAAGAAATTAAGGTTGCAGTTGAGAGGGTAGTCAACTGGAATAGCATGGAATAGTTACAAGACAGGTTATTCAATTAACAATTTCGGTTTTCCTATATAATTATGTCACTTTGTAAATAAAGGCAAATTGGTCGTCCAAAAATAAATACAGGATATGAATTTTGTAAAATGGCTTTTATATATTGAAATATATATGAAGTGGTGCTTAATTATTTTCCATGTGTATATATAACTGTATTGATGCCTTTTTGGTTATTTATGTTTGTTTTTTATGCTTTTACTACCTCCTTCTTGTCTGTCTTCTACTCTTGCTGTCATCACTTGTTATAAAACTGTAGCCAATTCCAAGAGCGTTTGCTTCTAAAATGTATAGAAATAATCTCTGTAGAACAGGGACAATCTATTTATGAGGATAATTCTTTCAATAATTATTCATTAAATTTTTCATTTTTTTGTGTCTATTTATAATGTTTACAATTAACAAAAGTAATTCATGAATTTAAAAGTATTTTTCAAAGAATTGTAACCGTTTTGAAAATATGATCATTTTTATAATTTGATTTACATCTTCATGAATCAAAAAACTGTTTTCCTAACAGCAAGGAATTAAAAAAAAGGTCATGAAATTATCCTGAATTAGATCAAAATTATCATGAGATATTGAAGTCCCTGCACTGGCCCAGTTCCACAAAGCGATCTTAGCGCTGAGGTGATTATATCTCCCATACATAATTAACATAGACTTACGACAGTCGTAGTGCTACAATCACTTTGTGGATCATGGCCCTGAAAAGACTGAACTTATTTAGAAGTAAAATGATTTTCAACTTTTTGTAATGTGTTTCAGTCCTATTAATTTGGTTGAATTTAAAAGTAAACTCAGATACATATGTACACTTATAGCAAGTATTGAAATCCTGATGTGTTACAGTATTTTCACATGCATGACTTTTCTTTCTATCTCACTTGCATGTGGCTGTGGTGTGATTGTGCTTGTCTGTGTCTCTCAACTGGGCTTTCTTGGCTGTCTACTCATGCTGGCCGTGTCTGCTTTGCTCTGAAATACAGGAGGATCTATATTAAGGCGCCATTCACAGAAGGGGAAAAAGAGTAAGGGAATGATCCCATCCTTCCCCTGCATCCATGAGACACGAATCTGACCCTGTTTGAATCCTGTTCCGAGAAAACTACAAATCACGAAATTATTCAAATCCCATGTCACTCTGAGAATACCTTCACTCCCTTCAGACACTCCGTAGACACTGATAGGGTAAAAAATACTCTCTGAGGGCTCTTCTGAACCCATCCTTAACTGCGGCTGTCTTGGTTGAACTTGTGGGGATTTGGACACAGTATGACCAACCCCCCATGCTTGTCTCCCTGTGGGGATTCGGACACAGCAGCACCAGCCCCCCTTGTTTGTCTGTGGGATTTTGGTCTGATAGGTCCCCAACAACCCATGCTTCTCTTTTTGGGGGGATTCAGATCAGATAGGCTTCCAAGTCCCATGCTTGTCTCCTTGTTGGGATTCGGACACAGCAAGACCAGCACCCAATGCTTGTCTCCCTGTGGAGGTTCAGAGCAGATAGGTTCCCTGCACCCTATGCTTGTCTCCCTGTGGGGATTTGGGTCTGATAGCTTCCCAACACCCATGCTTGTCTTTTTGTTGGGATTCAGATCAGATAGGCTTCCAACAGCCCATGCTTGTCTCCTTGTGGGGATTGGGACACAGCAAGACCAGCACCCCTTGTTTGTCCCCCTGTGGAGGTTCAGAGCAGATAGGTTCCCTGCACCCTATGCTTGTCTCCCTGTGGGGATTTGGGTCTGATAGCTTCCCAACACCCATGCTTGTCTTTTTGTTGGGATTCAGATCAGATAGGCTTCCAACAGCCCATGCTTGTCTCCTTGTGGGGATTGGGACACAGCAAGACCAGCACCCCTTGTTTGTCTGTGGGATTTGTGTCTGATAGCTTCCCAGCACCCTATGCTTGTCTCCCTGTGGGGATTTGGGTCTGATAGCTTCCCAACACCCATGCTTGTCTTTTTGTTGGGATTCAGATCAGATAGGCTTCCAACAGCCCATGCTTGTCTCCTTGTGGGGATTGGGACACAGCAAGACCAGCACCCCTTGTTTGTCTGTGGGATTTGTGTCTGATAGCTTCCCAGCACTCTATGCTTGTCTCCCTATGGGGATTTGGGTCTGATAGGTCCCCAACAAGCCATGCTTGTCTTTTTGATGGGATTCAGATCAGATAGGCTTCCAACAACCCATGCTTGTCTCCCTGTGGGGATTTGGGTCTGATAGCTTCCCAACACCCATGCTTGTCTTTTTGTTGGGATTCAGATCAGATAGGCTTCCAACAGCCCATGCTTGTCTCCTTGTGGGGATTCGGACACAGCAAGACCAGCACCCCTTGTTTGTCTGTGGGATTTGTGTCTGATAGCTTCCCAGCACTCTATGCTTGTCTCCCTGTGGGGATTTGGGTCTGATAGGTCCCCAACAAGCCATGCTTGTCTTTTTGATGGGATTCAGATCAGATAGGCTTCCAACAACCCATGCTTGTCTCCCTGTGGGGATTTGGGTCTGATAGCTTCCCAACACCCATGCTTGTCTTTTTGTTGGGATTCAGATCAGATAGGCTTCCAACAGCCCATGCTTGTCTCCATGTGGGGATTCGGACACAGCAAGACCAGCACCCCTTGTTTGTCTGTGGGATTTGTGTCTGATAGCTTCCCAGCACTCTATGCTTGTCTCCCTGTGGGGATTTGGGTCTGATAGGTCCCCAACAAGCCATGCTTGTCTTTTTGATGGGATTCAGATCAGATAGGCTTCCAACAGCCCATGCTTGTCTCCTTGTGGGGATTGGGACACAGCAAGACCAGCACCCCCTTGTTTGTCTGTGGGATTTGTGTCTGACAGCTTCCCAGCACCCTATGCTTGTCTCCCTGTGGGGATTTGGGTCTGATAGGTCCCCAACAAGCCATGCTTGTCTTTTTGATGGGATTCAGATCAGATAGGCTTTCAACAACCCATGCTTGTCTCCTTGTGGGGATTGGGACACAGCAAGACCAGCACCCCTTGTTTGTCTGTGGGATTTGTGTCTGATAGCTTCCCAGCACCCTATGCTTGTCTCCCTGTGGGGATTTGGGTCTGATAGCTTCCCAACACCCATGCTTGTCTTTTTGTTGGGATTCAGATCAGATAGGCTTCCAACAGCCAATGCTTGTCTCCTTGCGGGGATTGGGACACAGCAAGACCAGCACCCCTTGTTTGTCTGTGGGATTTGTGTCTGACAGCTTCCCAGCACCCTATGCTTGTCTCCCTGTGGGGATTTGGGTCTGATAGGTCCCCAACACCCATGCTTGTCTTTTTGATGGGATTCAGATCAGATAGGCTTCCAACAGCCCATGCTTGTCTCCTTGTGGGGATTTTCACACACAGCAAGACCAGCACCCAATGTTTGTCCCCCTGTGGAGGTTCAGAGCACCCCATGCTTGTCTTTCTGTTGGGATTAAGAGCAGATAGTCCCCAACACCCCATGCCATTTTTCTTGTGGGGATTCTGAGCAAAATTGGCCCCAATTGCCTCCATCCTTACAACCAGCGAAGACCAACATAGCCTTGACCTGCCTGACCTAGTGTCCCTATATTCAACTGTGCCATTGTATGCTCCCACAACATATTCACGCACTTCCCCTGAATGATCCACAACACTGAACTACTGGTGACATCCCTCGATCCCTCGCCAACCCGATCCTGACAACCTGTTAGCCCTTCTCACAGAGATATCGATGACATCCCACATCTAATCGCCCCTGACTCACCGTTAGCCCTTTCGCTCTGCTATCGATGACGTCCATGATTCCACATCAACTCGACCAAGCACTCATAAAATCCCTGCTATCATCCACTCCCTGACTGTTGCACAACGCTGTTGATAAAGATTGTGTTCTTTAATGTCGTGCTGCAGTATTTAGACGGTTTTCTAAGCGAGGGAGAGCTGACAAAGCTAAGTCGCCTGAGGGTAAGATAAGCCTATCGTCTCCCACCAGAGGGACCACACTAATACTGGCTTCCTGTTTAACAGAACTAACTACCTGCCCAGGTTGTCATGCCTTCTCTGAATTTCCATCACTGACACTAGTTTATTGAGCATCAGTTGACATGTAGAATCTGTAAGAATACGTCAGTACTCCTGTAATGTCCACAGGGTTCTTAAAGGCTTGAAAAGGCCTTGAATATTAAAGTCCCTTTTGAAAAGCCTTGATTTTTCTTGTCAACCTTAAATAGCTCAAAGAAGTTAACCTTAAAAAGCCTTGAAAAGAACCAAAATACCTCAGCCATGTGGTTGATAGCGTGCCACCATACCCCAAAAGTGTGGGATGATGCTCAGAATATCAGTCACTGGATTGGCTGCTTCAGACATGATTATAACAGGCCATCACACAGCCGGAATATTGCTAAATGTGGCATTAGACAAAAAGTAAGCAAACGTCAGATACATTGTAACTTTATGTTCATCATATTTGTCATGTCACTCAATGAGAAACAAAAAATAAAAATATCCTACAGATATTGGCCATCTTTGTTTAATTATCTCTGCTTTGGGCTGTCTATGAGATTGGATTTTCTATTTCTGTTATTTCATCTGAGAAGGCATCAACCAGGTAGATTGTCAAGGGTACCGTATACACTATTTACACTCATGAAGCATCCCCTCCCCCTCCCCCTTCCAGCCACCCACCCCCCTCCTTCCCCCCCTCCCCCAACTCTACCCACCATGATATACTTCACTACCATCCACCAGGTGCACTTGATATTATATTTTCATTTGATGTATTGCTGATTATATCATATATTCTATTCCTTTTTTACACCATGAACGTTTAATCAATTTTATTTTTTATGTATGACACTGTCATCCTTCTCACTCAAGATTATTTTCCTCTGCCTTATTTTGCCTCAAATTATAAATCAACTTTTGAAATGAGTTACCTCTATAACACCACTGAAATAGTGTTCAAGGTAAGATCTTGATGTGTTATGATCAAGAAATGCATTACTGTAAAGGGCTCAGGGTGTTATTGAGGATCATGGAGAAAATATGCCCCTGAGTGCCGAGGATGGTGTATATGATGTTGTTTTTGTCCTTTTAATGGCCTGTGTTTCTCACAGTCAAACAGAGCACAGTGGTTAGAAATGTCAAGTGTATTTTAGGTAGGCATAGCAAGTCAGTCTACATCGTCAATACTTCACGCTCTTGTATACACTGTTCTTCTTCCCCCGGTGGACAGGTTTTTTGTTAAGCTTTTCTCATCAAGATATGACTGAAAAATTGCCAATGTGACGTTAACTGTTGACTCACTCACTCACTCCATCTCTTTGGGGCGGTAAGGCAGCTATAGAAACTTAGAGTTTTAAACCACTGGTCCTTATAATGATGATATATAATAAAACCCTTAATAATGGCAAATTTCTACTACTCCGTATAATACCTTAACTATTGGGCAGTTTGGGAAGGACTATACCACTAGTGCCAATTTCTATCCCAGTAAGGTAGTGGTTGAAATGTTTGCTGGTCATGAGGGCGGTCGGGTAGCCTACTGGTTAAAGCGTTCGCTCGTCACGCCAAAGACCCGGGTTCCATTCCCGACATGGGTACAATGTGTGAAGCCCATTTCTGGTGTCCCCCGCTGTGATACTGCTGGAATATTGCTAAAAGCGGCGTAAAACCATACAACTCACTCACTCACTCGCTGGTCACGCCGAAGACCCGGGTTCGATTAACCACAAGGGTACAATGTGTGAAGCCGATTTCTGGTGTCCTCTGACGTGATAGTTCTGGAATATTGCATGAGGCAGCATAAAATCATACTCACTCACTCAGTCACTCCCCTGTGGGGACCCAGGGTAGAATGTGGCTCCAGCCATCTTTTGTGGTAGAAATGGTCCTCATCTACCTATGCTGGTCGTAAGTGGGTATGAAAATGAATCTGGTGGTCCTGTCTCAATGACATGGTTTGATTTAAACCATAACAATGGTACTCTAATACAAGGTATTTCAGACGCCGTAGTGTATGCAAACCCGTGAAGTATTGACGATGGTCAGTCTGATAAGTTACCGAGTTCATGTTCCTACTAAGATGTTACTGTTACTTCATGGCTCCCACTTTCACCAGTAAATCTGAAAACTTGATCTCAAATGTTCCTGTGAGGAAGGGCAGAAAGACCTCAGACGTTTGACAATGTCGTTAAAATCAGACCTCACTGCTCACTCACACTACCCAAAGATCTGAGGACATCCATTCAGGTCATGTCATGTGGCCTTTCATCCATCCAATCAAAGATCGTTACGAGATCCTGAAAGTTAATGTCTGAATATGTTTTGGGGCCGTTACCTGCTGTAAGATTGATTCGGAATGGTAGATATCGTCTGTTTCTGGTTTCGATGGGATAAACAAGACTCTCCCTAGCCCATGGGAAATACTGCCATACAATCTTCGCCATCGAACAGACATTCCAGGATCTTCTTTTGTTCATTTTTCAGATTTTGAATCGAGAACATTGTCAAAATAAGTGTGAAACTAATGCAGTAAAGTTTGAGCAATCTTTCACTATCTCATTGACTAATGTCAACTGTCTGTTAGTCATTTCATTGGTCGGGGGCACGGGTGGCCCAGTCGTCTAAGGCGCCGCGATTCGCTGTGCAGAGTTGCATCCCTTGGACACGCCAGAAACCTATGATTGTGGGTTCGAATCCCGGTTCGCCCCGATTATGTTTCTAGGTTTGTCAGCACCATACCCGTGCTCGTGGGTTTCAACGAAGTGGTAAACGTCCGAGACCTGCATCACTTCGGGCTTTCCTCCCAAATTAAGCTGACATGCCGCGATATAACTTGAATACTGTTAAAAGCGGCGTTAAACCTAACTCACTCACTCACTCACTCATTTCATTGGTCAGTCAAAGTCGGTCGTTCTGAGGTGACCTGTAATGGGATGTCCTCAGATTTTTTAGACCGGGGTAGAATAGGTCTTCAGCAACCCATGCTTGCCGTAAAAGGCGACTATGCTTGTCGTAAGAGGCAACTAACGGAATCAAGTGGTCTGACTCGCTGATGCATGTCATTGTATCCCAATTGCATAGATCAATGCTCAGGATATCAATCTCGATTACTGACAGACTGCCGTCATATAGCTGAAATATTGCTGAGTGCGGCGTTAAACAACAAACAAACAAACAAAGTCACATTTTTGGTATAGCACTAATGAGCACTAAGGTCTAATTTTAATGTGATTGGATGTTCGATAGATGAAACATGATGTGAAATACGTACCTCAATCCTTGATCCTTTCTCAAGTGAAAAACACAGTTCTAGACAATGTAGAATGTAAAGGTATGCTGTGAAATGTTTTTCACAAAGTGGGATTCACATAATCAAAGATGTTCATAAGATAATATTTTGTTCGATGTTCATAAGATAATATTTTGTTCGATGTTCATAAGATAATATTTTATTGTTGGTCAATTATGGTTCAGCCAAATGTTCACTTTTCAAGAAATACCGTAAATTATTAAATGCAATTTCCTGTTTTTAGATAATTATGTTCATCTATTCCTAACAATGTTCATATCATTTGAGTTGCTGCTAATACCATTTGCTTAATGCACAGTTAAAGTGACACTCTAAATTAACTTGTCATTCTGATGTTTATGTAATACCTGTACTTAAGAAAAACAGTTGCCATATCTGGCAATCGTCAGATTGCACATAGCAGTTTGTTGTCAGGAAATATAAGTTGAATTTGCTTGAAGCAAATATAATATTCAATATCTAATTTTACGAAGACAATATTTGAGAAAGCTGATAAAAATATATATTCCATTTATTATCATGATTATTGATGGCATATTACCAAATATTTGAAATGGCAGAATAACAGTGAATTTCTTAACAAATCGTCTCTTTTTGTGGTTTGGACGTGTATACCAAGTTCCATCTTTCCATGTGCTCTATTCAGATTGCATATAGGGTTGTAGTTCTTGATATTTGTACAATATTTAACCCTTGATTTTCTAAGCATTTATCTACATGTCATATTGAGACATCATTGACAGAACAATGTGTCAAGGATCTGAGAACCGGACATAATCAGTCTGACATAGACACATACTGTTGTTTTGATGATGAAAATATCACCCAGGGATTTATCAAGGAAGAGTTTGTAATTTCATTCAAAATGGGATTAACTTGAATTGGGAAATGCTCAGTTCCCATTAAGGAATTTTTGCTGACATTTTCTACCGATGTTTGACCAAATGTCTGGCCAAATATCTGGCTCTGAGAAGGTCTAGATAAATCCCTGCTACCGTTTTCACCTTAACTGAGATCAACTTTGCTTATGACAAAATATTTCCAAACGTTTCAACATTGTTTCTGACAAGTTTGTCCAATTGGCCTCGTCAGATGAACTGGAGGCAATGCGAGAAGAGCTGGACCGACGGAGAGATGAGTGTCTCCACCTACGGGCGGAGTTGGCGGACCGCAGCATCACCACGCACACCGTTGCTAAGGAGTCCTACGGCGGCCATGACGAAATGGTGAACGAAGACGACGAGATTGTGATGGCTTTCAAGACTCAGAAGGACCTAAACAGGTAGGTGAAATTGTGTTTTTCAGCAGAGATGGTTCTAACATGTGCTTAATGAATACATATGGTTGTACTAGAGGCACAGAACGAGATTCCATGGTGCTTGGGAACAGTGGACAATGTTTATTAACAGAAATGGATTTGACTCTCGTGTGTAAATCAAAGGAAGCCTATTTCCATATAATACAGGTACCAGACTGGTTTCATGCTGAGGATTTGGGAGGAGGTGCAGAGTTTGCATATGAGCACCACCTCTGTATTCCCTTGTATTTCAGGCGGGGAATGTGAAAAATTTGTTTTAAAGTCACTATTTTTGTGAATGTTTCAGCTGAGATAATCTGTGCAGACATTTTTTTTTTTTTTCAGCTGGTCTTCTATGTTTGTTTTCCATTCATACACCTCTGTTTTAGATCAACAGGTCTATTTTTGTGGTGTATTTTTGTGGAACAGAATTAAGAACGTTTCAGTTCCAGCTGGCTGAAGGTGACGTAATCCTACTTAGAATGAAGGACCTCAAGCAGCTTGTGTTATGCCTGAGTATAGATGTCCATGTGTACCTGTTTAAACATGATGTTAATAGTTTGATCCTGGAGCTGATGCAGAGACAAGCTGAAGCCATCAAAGTCTCGTGACGACTAGCTCACCTGTTTGTCAGGGATATACTATCTTATCTTCAAACGAAGTCTGGGATTTTTGTCGAAACTTATCTGGCCTTTAAAAAAATAATATCCATTTTTAGACCAAAGGCAATCAAGATATTGTTGTGTGGGATGGCATGTTCCTCGCAATAAAAGTAATATGAGTGTTGATGCAAGCAAACAATTCCCATGGTTTTCTGGGTTAGAATTGGTCCCCAGCAACCTACGCTGGTCGAAGAGATAACCTAATGGATCGAGTGGTCAGGCTCGGTGACTTGATTGATAGTGTGTCCTTGTACCCCAGGGTGTGGATCGTTGCTCACACTATCGATCACTGGATTATGTGGTCGTTGCCACCACGTAGCTGGAAAATTGCTGAGTGCAACAAGAAACAAGCAGTAATTATTTTGAATCAAAATCCCATTCCTTGTCTGAAGTTAAGATGGTTATTCCCTCCATGATATGACAATTCTGTACAGTTTCAGCTCATAATGATGTTAAAATTGCACACAAAACACCCTGAGATGGTTTGACGAATAAGATATACCTGTTTTCAGCAAAATAAGAAATGGCTCCGACAATATCTATCAACCTGATTTTACAGAGGTCAGTTTGTTATTACTTACACTGAAACATGCGGAATAAAGAAATATCTTGATTAAGAATTCAGAAGATTAGAATTATTGAGCATAATAAAACACTAAGACAGCAGTAATAACACCAGGAGATATTTGGCTGACATATGAGAACCTTCATCTGGATGTAACAAGAGCATGTTCAACACTGATGGCCATGAGGAATCTAATTTGATGAAGTCACCAGTGCTGCTGTGGACACTCACACATGGGTATGTATATATTGTGTAGCCCACCTTGTATTGAGTGCATTGTTTGGGATTGTCATGTACTAGAATGTTACCATTGATCAAACTACCGATGCATAATTATTGTCCATGGCCCGATGGTTGTGTAATTGTCCATGGCCTGATGATTGCTTAATTTTCCATGGACAGATGGTTGCAGAATTGTCCATGGCCAGATAGTTCCATAATTGTTCATAGCCTGATAATTGCATAATTGTCCATGGCCCGCTGGTTGTGTATCTCTCTTAGGCCCCATGATTGCAGAATTGTCCATAGATAGCAGGTTGTGTATTTCTCTGTGGCCTGATGGTTGCGTAATTGCCCATGGCCCGATAGTTGCATAATTGTCCATAGCCCGCTGGTTGTGTATTTCTCTTTGGCCCGATGGTTGTGTAATTGTCCATAGCCCGCTGGTTGTGTATATCTCTATGGCCCGATGGTTGCGTAATTGTCCATGGCCCGATGGTTGTGTAATTGTCCATGGCCTGATGGTTGCGTAATTGTCCATGGCCTGATGGTTGCGTAATTGTCCATGGCCTGATGGTTGCGTAATTGTCCATGGCCTGATGGTTGCGTAATTGTCCATGGCCTGCTGGTTGTGTATCTCTCTTAGGCCCCATGGTTGTGTAATTGTCCATGGCCCGCTGGTTGTGTATTTCTCTTAGGCCCGATGGTTGCGTAATTGTCCATAGCCCGCTGGTTGTGTATATCTCTATGGCCCGATGGTTGCGTAATTGTCCATGACCCGATGGTTGCGTAATTGTACATGACCCGATGGTTGCGTAATTGTACTTGACCCGATGGTTGCGTAATTGTCCATGGCCCGCTGGTTGTGTATTTCTCTATGGCCCAATGGTTGATTCCATTTTACCAGCATGGGGGGGTTCCAGTCTACTATGAGGGCTACAAACTCCATGCACTTTACCCAGTAATGCAAACCCTGAAAGCTTACTTACCTCTCATCTAATCAACTCGTCCAGCCTCAGCACTGCACATACAGGGTTTGTAAAAACAACTCGCTAAAACAATGGACATAAATACACACTGTGATGTAATTAAGAATTGACTTCAATATTATTTGCGTTTAAGGAGGTCACTTTTCACTGTTAACATAAATAACAGTGTGAACAACAATACAAAAATCAGCAAAAACATAGATAATCGCTATGGTGTTACAATAGATAACGCCCATGCTCAGTTACGCTATTGATGGTATCACTATCAATTGACGTAAAACAATTTAGATAATACCTTCAGTCATATACTTTTCTCTGGACACACGATCCAAGTAATAAAACAAACCAAACCCAATATTGATAATCCCAGTGTAATAAGATAAAAACAAGGCTCTTTTTTTGTGTCAAAGTGTTTTGATTTTTAAGTAACATAACATGTTTGCCAAGAGGGTGTAGTCTAGGGAAATCAAAATGTAAATGAACATGTGATAGTACATTTCTTTTTCTTATCAAACCTAGACCTAACACAAGCAGGTCCATACAATATATCTAAAACATAAAAAGCGATTATGCTTGTCATAGGAGGCGACTACCAGGTTCGGGTGGTGAGGCTCGCTGACTTCGTTGGTACATGTCATTGTATCCCAATTGCGTGGATAAATGCTCATGATATCAATCACTGAATTGTCTGGTCCATGCTAAATTATTTACAGACTGCCGTCATATAGCTGGAATATTGCTGAGAGTGGCGTTAAACAACAAACAAAACAAGATATAACCATGTTCTGGAAATAACACATTGCAAGTGTAGAACAGTTTGATCGTTATTTTCAAACCCAGATACCCTCAAAAACATATGCAACAAGGAAACAATATCAAACGAATGACAATTTTCACACTGGTAGCCTGGTTAAGTATGTAAATTAGCCAAAGATCATGTAAAGACAACAAACGACTGAAAAAAAAAAACACTAAAGAAATATTTTTTATTTATTTATTTTTTATTTGTATTTTAAAGTGTAAGCATTTGCGTTTTGTGCTGTGTTGTAGCTACGGAACTGTCCCGACAATTAAGTTACCCATACATCATCCAATAGACTTGCACAAGTCTCTAAGGAAATGTTTATCAGTTTAAATCATAATTCCTAGATCTAATAAATAATATGAACAAGTTGTCCCAATAAAACACTGAACTGTCGGTTTGTCCTGACTTTCCTATAATCGGTATAGAATTAGTGTTCATCCACGTACTTATCATTCAGTACATACCCTGTCTGGCGCTCGGCATTAAGGGGCTAAAACAAGGACTGGTCGGCTCGGAGTCAGTATACTGTGTCTTAGTGGGGTATTCATGTTAAACTGCGGCATGGTATCTCAGTGAGCTAGCACTATAAATCGGCATCAGTCCAGACTAGTACAAGCAGCCACACACACACACAGACATGCACGTCGCTATATAAGTGCAATAATCTTGGACGCGACGTTAAACCCCATTTCACCTCACCTCACCTCACCTCATTCAGTACAGACTTGGAGCAAGGCTAATGATTCAGCTCCAGCATCATCTCCTCCATCAATTACCGGTGGATTGTGTTATGTAATTATAGAGATTAGCCTATCAGTTCAACCCTCTGCCAGTGCTAAGACTGTTACAATGAACAACACTCTCAGCTTGTGTGAGGGTACATTGTACAGGGAGAGGGCACCCCACGGGCACCCCAGGGGCCAGGCCACCTGTCCCAGGTACCTAGACATGGGATTATCTCAGTGTGTCCCCGGAATCCTTCTCGAGACTAATCCTGGTGACCTGAGGCTGTGTGCCTATACTTACCTGTAATTACTTACCTGTAATTACATACCTGTGTAGGAGGAAATGCGTTTTGTTCCTGATTCATTGTGTTGAAGAACAATAGAAATACCTGGGTTATGTTAGTCACAGACATGCAGGGGCTGCAGGTTGCTGTAACCTGTGTGCACTCAGGTGGGCCTGACTGGTATGTGAAACAGAAATAGATGTCATGTGAAACAGGAACAGATGTCATGTGAAACAGGAACAGATGTTATGTGAAACAGGAACAGATGTTATGTGAAATACAGATAGATGTTATGTGAAACAGGAACAGATTTAATGTGAAATACAGATAGATGTCATGTGAAACAGGAATAGATGTTATGTGAAATACAGATAGATGTTATGTGAAACAGGAATAGATGTTATGTGAAATACAGATAGATGTTATGTGAAACAGGAATAGATATGTGAAACAGGAATATATGTTTTTGTGAAACAGTATGTGAAACAATGACTAGCTGGTATGTGAAACAGGGACTAACTGGTATGTGAAATGGACTAGCTTTTATGTGAAACAGGGACTAGATGTGATGTGAAACAGGGACTAGCTGGTATGTGAAACAGGGACTAGATGGTATGTGAAACAGGGACTAGCTGGTATGTGAAACAGGGACTAGATGGTATGTGAAACAGGGACTAGATGGTATGTAAAACAGGGACTAGCTGGTATGTGAAACAGGAACTATATGGTATGTGAA